CCATCCCTAGCACTTCAGGAACAGAGTGTGGCGATGAGAAAAACAGTCTTTTCCATTGCGGATAGCTTGCTGCGGTGGCTTGTCCGCAGCCGTTCTCCACCGGAGAAACGAGCCAGCTCAAGGTTTATTGGGGGCAGCTCTCAGGTGGGTTCACCAGTCCTAAGAACAGGACCAGGAAAGTCACCATGCAGAGGGAGAGAGGAGGGGGAGGGGAGGGGGAGAGAGAGGGAGAGAGAGAGGGAGCAACCCAAAAGGTCTGTATCATATAAAGAAGAGCCTCGGGGGCAGGGGAAGCCCAGGCCCTGGGCTGGGAAGTTCAGGTAGGGACTGAGGGATGCTGGGAGAACCTGAAGGCCAGGTGTGTTCCTCAGCTGCTTGTTCAGGGTCCGAATCCCAACAGCGTGAACAAGAAAGATGCCAGAGTCTCAGACATTGCAATCAGTGGTCCCTTCCTGGTGGACTGTTTCGGTAGATCTAGGAGGTGTGGCCTTGCTGGAGGGGTGTGTCACTGGGGTGTACTTTGAAGTTTCAGAGCCTGGTGCAATTAAAGACCAGTTTACTGTGTTTCTAAATTGTGGTTTAAGATATGAGCTCTAGCACGCCTGTAATCCCAGCACTAGGGGAGGCAGAGGCAAGAGGATCTCTGTGAGTCCCAGGCCAGCCTGGTCTAGAAAGCCAGTCTAGGACAGACAGCTAAGGCTACACAGAGAAACCCTGTCTTGAAAACAAACAAAACCAACAACCAAAAGGAGGTTCTGTGAACCTCCCCCACCTCGTGAAACTCTCGTGTACATGTCCGTGTGCCCGACCTCCATGTCAGGCATTCCTAAGACTCACCTCTTTCATGCCGTTCCCACCGTGCTGATAATTAACCAGCCAAGCATCAGACTGGGAGACCAAGCGATTGCCTGTGGGGTGACACAGTCACTACCCTGCCTTAGGCAGGACTTTGACCTTGGGCCTCCCAGTATGTACATGCACCATGGTAACTTGTATCAGTGGCCACGCGAGCAGGGCGCCCAGTGTTGTTTCGCTATGGACTTCCCTTGCCACCTGCCCCACTCTGTACCCCTCTCTGATCAGGGATGTCTTCTCTTTGCTGCAGACCGTCTCCTGACCCTGTGCATTCCTGGGCTCATCTCTGCTGTGTGCTCTCTCTCCGGCACCCTTTCAAGCAGGCTCATCCTCCAAGCAGCCTGAGGACCTGCTCCACCTGCCGTCTGTCCCCAAAGCAGCAGGTTCAATGCACGGACAGCTGGCCATGTCCTGCCGCTTCATGGCTCTGTCCTCTCCCTGGTCCTCCTTTTCCCTCCCATACCCACACCTCTGACTGGGGACTGTTCCCCATGCTCTCCTGGTTGATCGTATCCAGGCCCGAGCTGAGAGCCCGCTCGTGGTGCCTCTGAGAGGCTGGCAGTTGGCGTATCCTGGCTGCCATGTGCTTAACTCACAGCAGAACTCTTCTGCCATCCCTCTCGGAGAGCAGTGACTGCAATCACCTCTCCACCCCTCCACCCTCTCCACCCCCACCCCCACCCCGTGCCTCATCCCATCAGGCAATCATGTTGGATCAGCTTTAAATTCAGTCTCACCGGCTGTGGTGGTGCGCACCAGTAGGTTTTGCTGAAGGAGGCGGAGGCAGGAGGATCATGAGTTGGAGGCCAGCCTGGGTTACACAAGGAGAAAGAAAAGATAATCACTCTTGGATGTGCTATCTCTTGCCTTCCCCATTGCTACCCCTCTATCTAAACACTGACCTTCTCGGCCATGTATTTGGGAGCCTGATCCTATGCAACCTCCCCTTGTGTCAAAAGCGATGCATGGGATCAAGGGTTGTTTGTTTGTTTTTTGTGTTGGGTTTTTTTGTTTTGTTTTGTTTTGAGATAGGGTTTATCTGTGAGGCTGTGGCTGTCCTGGAACTCGTTCTGTAGACCAGGCTGGCCTCGAACTCATAGAGATCCTCCTGCATCTGCCTCCCAAGCGCTGGGTTTACAGTTGTGAGTCACCGACACCCAAGCACCAAGGGTGCTGAGGGGTAGTTTCTCTTCTCAAGTCTCCCAAGGTGTGGCCACCTCAATATTCAGTTGGGCTTGTTCCTGCAACACCCAAAGAAGCACTTTCACAGAAAGGACGTCAAGGAAGGTTCTGGGGAGGAGAGCAGAGCACCATTTCCCTTGCTGAGGAGACGGGGAGTGTTGCCTTGTGGCGGGAGGACAGTCCGACCGAGGCTGGAGGCGGCAGAACTGTGACGAACAGTGACCGCGGTAGGACGGGTCAGGCAGGGCTCTCCATGGCTGAGGAGACCCTCCACGGTTAAGCGCGCACTCACATGGCGGGTGGCAATGGGCTGTAACGCCAGCTCCTGAGGTGCCCAGGTCAGGCTCTTCCGCCCTCCTTGGGCACTGCGTGGAACAATAGGAGCTGGCCGCCTGTCGTTATCGGCGTGAGTGACTTTGCACGGCTATTGCTCTCCATAGGAGCGCAAGCGCTTGCCTCCCCTTCTCTTGTTTCTTTCGCTGTGTGTACATGAAGGTCAGAGGGTAACTCTGGCTGACCTGGAACCCAAGGTTGGCTTTGAACTCAGGAGTCTCCTGCCTCAGTTTCCCAAGTGTGCTGGGGTTATAGACGCTGGTTATCTGGTGCCAACACCTTCATTCGTTAACTTTTTTCCATTTGGTAACTGCGGGGAAGGTATTTCCTGTAGTTTAGGCAGGCAAGCTTGCTTTTGGCTCAGGTTTCGGCAAGGCTGCGAAGCCTTTGCTGTGATGTGCAGCCGGGAAGCTGGCGGGCTGGAGCGTTTGCTTTCTTGGGTGAAGTTCCCGCTGCAGCCAGCAGGGGTCACTATGAGGCTGTACTGTTGGCCTCTTTGTAAGGAAAGAGGCCGCGGTCGGTCTCCACTGCAACGTACCCCCCCTCCACTTGCCCACACCCCAATGGCTCTCAGCTTGAGCTCACCAGGGGGAGCTGACCCAGTTGCTGCGCTTCTCACTAGGAAGGCTGCCTGCCTGTGGAGCACAGAACAAAAGCCCGGCTTAGCCCCTGCCCCTGGCCTAAAGCCCCTGGCCTAAAACCCGGAGTCACCAGCATTCTGCCTTTTCCTTCAGCAACCGCAGTGGTTTGGGGGGTGTGTGTGAGGGTAATGGCTCACATCCTTTCTAGAAGGTAGGTATTGGGGAGAGGCCTTCTCAGTGGCTGGTTCCAGAATGGTTCCAGGCTTCACCTATGCTCTTTTCAAGACCGCTGTGAGGGAGGTTGTCTTCTCAGGGATGACTCCGCAACATGACCCTCCAACATGACCCACCAGCCACCAGCCACTAGCTGGACCAATCCCCGGGGAGCAGGAGGCTCAGGGGATCCCTGCCTTTCCTTGTTGCCACGGTGTACCCTTCTTCCTGTCACCCCAACGTCTCTCCAGGGTTTCCTGCTCAGCAGCTCAGTCTGTCCTCCGCTCCTGGTTCTGAGAGTCCAGCCAGCCAGCACTGTTCCCAACACCTTTCTTGTTCTCCCGCCATGCTCCTCCTCCCTGCCTTGCAAGACAGACTTTTGCTTAATGGGATTAATGCTTTTCTTTTTGAGACAGTGTCTTGCTGTGTGAGTCCAGGCTGGTCTCCAACTCTCCGTCCTCCTTCCTCAGCTTTGAGAGCACCCTCACACCAGGGGTCTTATTTCATATCCAGGCTCTGAGGGCTTTCAGCGTCCTGCCCAGAGTGACACAGCAGCACCGACTGAGGCCACCGGTCTGGCACACTCCCTCTCTGCAAAGGCCTGGCCTGCGCTGCCCTCTCCGGCACCCCGCATCCTCCTTCAGTACTCAGCCAGCTCTTGGCCCGTGTACTTGTCTTGCTTTCTAAGACTGCTGTTTATTTATTCTTCAGATTTCCAGCGAGCGTTCTGCTGTGCCAGGCCCAGAAGATGAAGGAAGGCGCGGCCTACATTCAAGGGCACAGGCTGGGAGACAATCCCTACCCCCCCCCCCCCCGTCTCTGTCCCCGCTGACCCCCCCCAGACAGCCTGAAGCCCTCCCAAGGGGCAGAAGCTGCTTCCTGTTTCTCCTGTACTCTCCTCCCTGTGGTGACCTCCTTGATCCCTCCTCAGGGACTTAATGCTGCTGCTGTGGCCATTGCCATGGGGGATGGACAGGCCTGCCTCAGCAGGGCTTGGGAAGAGGTTCTGGGGTGAGAGCTCAGGGTTGGAGGCTGATTCCTGCAGTCCCCAAGGGCTGGTCCCTGAAGCATCAGGACCTGCATTCAGCATCACACTCGTGGGATGTCCAGTGTGCAGGCCTAGGAGGTCGAGGTTTAGCTTTTGGCTGTGTGACTAGTGCAAACAGGCCATGGCAATTAGACAAGCCCCCCCACACACACACACACAAACACTTTTCAAGGCAGGAGCTCACCATGTAACCCAGGCTGTCCTCCTGCCTCAGCCTGCTGCTTGCTGGGATGAAAGGTGTGTGCTCCCAAGCCCAGCTCTGACAGCACCCCCTTCATTCCGCACCGACCCTGTCCTTGCCAGAACAAAATCCAAAAGCCACTGCCGCCGCCCCCCCCCCCCCCCCCCCGTGGTGGTGCTGGAGATTAAACCTAGAGCCCGGTGACTGCCAGGCCAACGCTCTCTCAGTGAGCAGAAGCCCCCAGCCTTCTTTGTTCATTATTTTGAGACAGGGTCTTGCTAAGTTGCCCAGGCTGGTCCCCACCCCAACCCCTGTGTCTCAACCTCCTGAGATAGTGCTACCATCAGGTAGGTCCAGCTTCTCAGAATTTCTCAGACCCGTTCCTTGTTCGGACAAAGCCCAGCTCCTGGCTTCTTTCTTAGCTGGCTGAGCAATCTTCAGGTCCACCCCAGACAGTGCCCCAGGAGCAGCATGAGGGATGGGTACCCTGGATAGAACTTTTTTTTTTCCATGAAAATGCTCTTAACTAGAACTGCTGAGGGGAGGGAGAGGTGAAGGCAGGCCGTGGGGTGGGGGTGGGAGGTTGGAAGATGGAACAGACACCAGATACAGGAAGAACAGACCTTTTTAATGGCACAGCTGGGTCTGGTTACAAACATCAGAAACTACAAAAAGACAGGCGGTTACAGGAAGGCTGCGTGGGGATGGGACCGGAGGAGATGCAGGCTCAGTAGCCGCAGCAGCGAGACATCCTTCAGGACAGTACAAGGGGTATACACGGGGTCCCCAGCAATGTTAAGGAGACTAGGTGGAGAGGACTGGCCAGTGGCCAGGAGGAGGAGGGAGAGAGGCCCTGGGTCTCCTCTGAGGGGTGTGAGGGTGGCCCCTGGCCCTGGGGTCTGTCTGCTGTCTGAAGTGAGCAGGTGAGGCTAACATTCCAGGACTCTTCACTAAGGCTGCCCCTCACCCACCCTTACTCTCCAACCCACGAGTACACTGGCCAACACCCCACTGGGATCTTCTGAACTCTTGGTATGCCCTGGTCTTTGCCCTTCCTAGGGCAAGTCAGCTAAACCCTTAGGGAGAGAAGGGAAGGGAAGGGGAGGGCAAGGGAGGGCCGAGGAACCAGATCTTCATGTTTTTGTTGTTGTTTGTTTGTTTGAGACAGGGTCTTCCTGTGTAGCCCTAGCTAGCTTGAAACTCACCTCCACAGAGACCAGGTGTACACCACCTGACCTCACTCTCCTTCCTCTGTCTCCCACGCTCTGAGATCACAGGCATGCTCCAGTACATCTGGCAAACCAGCTTTTCTCTTTTTGGGGGTGGGGTGCATGAATACAGAGCACTGAGCTGTGGGGGCAAGCTGAGTGGCCCCAACTCTCCCAGCCGGCTCCGCCCTCTTGTGTTGTTCTAGGATTTCTCCCTGCTCCCTGTAGAGCAGCCCAGAAGCGCGACCAGGACCCTTCCTGGCCTCCCACAGCTGGGCCTGCAGGTCCACGCGATAGATATGTACGTGTGTGTATATATATATTTATATAGAGATCATATATAGAATATATCTGTGTATATGGTAGACCTGTGTGCGTGATACTCTAGAGATGGTAAGGAGAACCTGCATGCTGGCGGGCAGAACGGATGCGGGCTGGTTCCTTTCCGAGGTGACCCATTGGCTGGCCCTTGCTTTCCACCGGCCACTTGCCGGGTCTCTCTCTAACAGTAAGTAGAAAAGCCAAGAAGAGTGTGCCCTCTGCTGTGAGGCAGAAGGATCCCCACGCTAAGTTCAACATCCGGGTAGCCAGCCCCACCTCCCAGCAGCCTGGGGGACCACAGCCACAATGAAGGCCTCCTTTCGGGAAGTTGAGTCCGGGGATTCCTCCAGCTTCCTTGGTGCCCAGAAATGGAAGAAGGTCAAGGAGCATCTTCAGAACTCAGCCTTCTGCCCAAAGTGCTGCCAGGGACGGGGGAGCTGGGAAGGGGCCTACGGCCCTGAAGAGGGGAGCGTGGTCGGTGGGCTGTGGATGAGAGAGGAGATGAAGGTAACAGGTGACAGGGGTCAGTGGTGGAGGGCGGATGGGGCGCCTGGGGTGCCAGGAGAGGGGGGTCATGAGATGGGGGCACTACCTGCCAAGAGGCCCAACACTCTGCTAGACAGCCTCCCACAACCTCCATCCCTGCTGTGCTACCTCAAGCTAGTCAGGTGGCCCAAGAGGGCGCTGGACCTGTCCCTCCAAAACGTGGCTTACCCGCTGAGAACAGAAGCATTTTACACACTCCAAGACACCACACAAAAGTGAACTTGTTTCTCTTCATTTGGAAAATAAGATGTGCTGTTTGTCCTGGCAGGGCCAGGGCTCTCTGGCTTCCTCGAAGCCGTGAAAGTCCTTTGAGCTAGCTCACTGGCCGCCTCATCCCCCTACCCCAGCTCCCCTCCACCCATGAAGAGCGACACACCCTGAGACAGAGACAGTCCAATAAACAGTGGTGTCTGGCTCACTCTGTCTCCCTGATAAGGGAAGCTGGACGGGCCCTTCTAGAAGTGGGCCCTGAGACTCCACCCCACCCTGTGGGGCAAGGGGGGTTCCTGCCATAGGTCGGGTCCTTCAGACCCATGACCCCAGGACACCAGAGGTGGGGACAGAGGCTGTCAGGGGATGAGGTGACAGTCCCACCGTGGGACAGCTGTGGAAGCCCACGGTGACGGGCGGTGGCTCAGCCCTGGGATGTCTTGGTGCCTCATCACCCACCTCCATTCAGCCCACTAGGACCAAAGGGGGAACAGATGAAGTTTGGGGTTTGGCTAGCACTAAATCCCTGGGGTCCCGCTGGGGCAGGAGCGGGAGGGCTCGGTCGGTCCATGTGTTTCTGATTCACTGGGCCTCGCTGGCCAGCTCTTCCCTCAGTCCCCCTAGGCCCAGTAAAAAGCTCTTTTCTCCAAAAGCAGGAAGTCTTGTGTCCGGGCTGTAAACAAACTCATCTTGGGCTGCAGAGCCTGCCTGGGGAGGGGAGCTGGGGGGAGGGCGAGCCCCTCCCAGGTTCCGCCCTGATCTCTCCCTGACAGCTGGAGGTGACCCCAGTTTTCCAGCCAGGCCAATGCCCTCCTCTGGCAGGTAAAACTCTCGGGTCTGAGGCAGTCCTGGTCCAGCTGTTCACATCTGGAGCTGACCTGGCTGCAGCTACCGATTCCTGAGAACTCTGTTCCGCTCTCCTGGGGAGCTGCTGATGGTGGGGGGTGGGGGGGACACAACATGACTGGTTGGTCGGTGGCAGGAAGGGCAGCAGGCCTGGCCTCCCCTGGCCCTTAGGGACCTCCTCTGCAGAGCTGGGTGGAGAGGCCCATAAGCAGGAGGTGGCACGGGGGTGGGGGTGGGGGCTCTGAAGAGCCCGAGGAGACATTGCCTTTTCCATGGGAAACTGCTGGGAATGTTTCTCTACAACACGTGTCCCAAGCCGCTGGCTGACCCCTGGTTCCTGTTCCCGCCTCCGCTCCTCTTCTTCCTACTTCAGCCCTGCCTCTCCCCTTCCATTCAGCTCCCAGAGTTAGCTGCCTCTTGGGGGTCTCGGGGGGTCTGAGTGTTCCCAGCTGCCACATCCGAAGGCCAGCCCTTGCTGGTGCTCCAGCCAGCAGGAGTCACCGAGTCTGGCCACCCTGTTGGAGCCTAGAAGTGGGAGCTGTCTTCTGGTCAGACTGGAAGTAAACATCCCCTAGTTTTTGACCATGGGAGTGACACCCATATAGGTCCCTTGTGGGCCTGGGCATGTGCGTGTGTCCTCGTGACCCTCCTGGCTTCAGCTCTGTTAGGGCAGAGGCTGGCTGGAAGCACTCGCTGGTCACTGTGGGATGAGGAACAGGCCTACAGGACTGGTACCAGGGAGGAAGGGTGGAGCTGGCCCACACTGCTCTGAGCCCAAGGAACCAGGAGCCGTCGCCTGCCAGGAGAGCATCATAGCCTTGGGTGATCCGAGCCCTCCCTGCTCCAGGCGAGGAGAAGCACTGCCCAGACAAAGCTACTTGGAGTCCACAGCTCTGTGCAGCCAAGGGTAGGGGTTGGACAGGAGCTGGCCTCAAGAGAGAAGGGCACTGCCTCACGGGGGGCCTTTGCGTTGTGCCTCTTCTTAAATGTGTCTGACTCCCGTGTCTGCGTGCCTGAAGAGTTCCTGCCACGGCAGTCAGTCAGATGGAAAGCCTCGGGGACAAGAGAGGACACAGCAGGGAGGCTGCCCAGCCCACCCGCACCCCCTCCTCACGTGGTGGTGTTGGGGACCTGCTGTACCCAGCCCACTTCCTTGTAGGCAGCGGTCACATGGCTGTAGATGAGACCACGCAGCTTGGCCCAGGCTCTCTGCGTCTCAGGAGGGAAGTCATTGGCAAACTCCTCGGCGATCACCTCCAGAATGACCCCAGAGAGAATCTGGGGGCGAAGGAGGGAAGGAGGGTAAACGCCTGGGCACCCCTGCCTCCCACAGTCCCCAGGATCCCTGCTCCCCCGTACTGGCCTGCGCGGGCACAAACTAACGGCCTGGTGGTTGCTGGGGGCCACTCTCAGGACAAGGACTGCTATGACCCAGCGGCCCGAGGGCTCTGGCCAAGAGCAAATAGGACATACATACCTTGAAGTACACGGGTTCCACTTTGTGCTTGAGGGCGTGGGCCTTGCCAACCAGGGCAAGAACTGAGGACACCTTGTCGGGGTCATGAAGGTTTTCCACGACAGTGTTGAGGGCTCCCATGACCCGACAGGCATGCTTCCGCAGCTGGGGGCTCCTCTCCATCTCCAAGGGATCCTCCATATGTCTAAACTGGCTGAAGTACTGCTTGGCTGAAGGGAAGTTCACAAAGAACCTGGGAGTAGGAAGGGGGGTGGGCGCTGAAGCAGGGGGCTGTCTCCAGGTCTCTCTGGAGTGGCCAAGATAGAGGAGGGGATGGAGAGGTAGACACATCGGTCATAGCTGAAAGCTCTCACACAGAGCGACTGTCCTTCAGCCACGAGCTCTCCTTCTGGCCAGGCCCTGCAGGGACTAACTGCTGAGCCTGTTCAGCCTGGCAGCCGCTTGTGCCAGGCCGCCGTCTGCCTTGCTTCTAGTGTGCCTTCTGAGCCTACACCCCACTGAGGCCTGCTCTGCTCACCGAGAGGGAGAGACTTCTAGAAGCCTGGGACAGTTGCTTTCATTTTTAAAGACTCATCGTGTTGCCCAGGATGGCCCTGAACGCTTGGGCTCAAGCCACCCTGCCTCTGCCTCCCACACTGCCCTCCTTCTCTTCTTCCTCTTCTTTTTTGAGACAAACTCTTGCCAAAACCCCCTGGCTCGCCTGGACCTCTGTGACGACCAAGCTGGCTTAGAAACCCACAACACTCCCATGGCTCCTGCCCGAGTGCTGGGTTACACACATGCGCTGCCTTGCCTATCCTGCCCTTATTTAGCTGCTCTCTCAGTCCTGGGCTTTGAACCCAGGTCCTGATGGTTCCCATGCAAGCACCCATTATTTATCTCCTCTAAGCCTCAGCTTCCTTATCCACAAAGTGGGCATCGGCCATCTTATCCCACAGGGGCTGGGGGTATAAGGAGAACCCGCATGCCACCAGCACGGTGTCCACAACATGTGGCGTTCATTCTTGGAAGAAACTGAGAGCCCTCCTTGTGGATGGAGCCACCTGTCTGTGCGCACGCAGCCAGGGACGAGATAAGCAAGAGAACCCCTTCTCTCCCCGCCAGTCTCTTCCCTCCTTGATGCCCCTCAGCAAATACTGACCAGCTGTGCTGATTTAAACAACTGACTTCACCTTTGTGGTACGCTTTGTAATTACTTATTGAGCTCGTACCGTCCTCTGCCTCTCAAAGGATGGGATTTAAGGCATGGCCCACCACACCCAAAAAGTCCCTTGCAGGGGAATTTGAACTTTTCTAACCGTGGCCCTTCCCTTCCCTAGTTTATCTAAGTTTGTTTAACTTCCCCAGCCTTCTTTCATTACATCATCCTCCCGCTCAAAAACAGCCATTGGCGCCGTAGCTTTGCACCCAAGTTAGATGCTCCAGACTTCTTCTGAACTGTCCCCCGCCCACTTCTCCAGCGCCATGTCTGCACTGCCTCTTCCCAGAATCCTCTCTGTCCCAGCCCAACAGCTGCACTTGGGCCTGTCTTCCATCCCATCGTGTGGGATGCCTGACACATTCCCCGAATCAGACCTGCCGCTCCCTGGCCACCCAGGGTGACTGTCCCACTGGACGGTTTTCTCTGCTACCGTTCAGTCTCTTGGACTAGACCCCAAACCATGCATGGAGCAGGGGTCCCATCACCCCAGCCTAGCCCTCCGCCAGCTGGAACTCAGTGAGAAACATTTCAATAATTTAGTGGTTCCTGAGAAAGTGTGTAAAGGGTCCTGACCTGTGTCCTTGTGTGTCATCGTCTCCTGCAGCATCAGAGGAAGCTCACAGCTTGTGGCTCAGACCTGAGAGCCTGATGTGAGGACAATAGACACAGAACATCCGGCTGGCCAGGCCTTCTGGGGACATAGCTGCTTCTGGCAGGAAGGTTCTGACAGTGGCCAGGGCACTGTCCATGACTGGGGACCCCCTTGGATGCTGAGTGTGACCTTGGACAGTTAGGAGCCCTCCTCCTGTCTGTGAAGGTTTGACAGAAGCTTTGCCCCTGGCTTCTCCAGATGAGCGTGGGTGTGGACCAAGGTGACAGTGAGCCTGAGAACACACAGGACTTCTCTGGAAGCTTTGTGATGAGGGACAAATGGGAAAAGATGCCTCAGGGACCGGGGAGACAAGCTAGTGGGTAAAATCACTCAGAGTGCAAACCCGGCAACCAAGTTTGATCCCCGATTACATAAAAAAACAAAAAACAAAAAAACAAAAAACAGGGTGCTACGGCACATCAGGAACCCCATCACTTCTAGGCAGCGAGAGAGGGTCCCCAGGAGACAGCGCAGTGGCAGAAACAAGAGGCTCTTCCTCCACAAGAGGAAAGGAGAGAGAGAACAGACTCGGGACAGTCTTCCTTTGACTTCCACGAGAATCCTGTGACACACAAACATTCCCCAGCCCCTACTCAAAGTAACAAGCACCCCAGGTTCTAAGGCTTCTATGATTGCAATAAAATAATGATTTTTTTTTGGGGGGGGATGGTATGTTGCCATTTGCAAGGGACCTCTTACGGTATTTAGCCTCCACAGTCTAGAAGCTCTTGTGTCCTTTCCCTAAGGAGGGCATCCCAGGGAACAATCAGTGAGCATTCACTATCCAAGCATTGCTTTGCTCCCCATCTTGAGGATCAGAAACTGGCTGGTCCCCAAGGCTGCCCAACAGGCAAGAATTGGTCCTGAGCACAGGTGAGTCTCCGGCCCCAGCACAGTAGCACCGTGTGTGTCCCTGAAAAAGGCCTTGAGCTCTGCTGTCATCCCTGCTTCTCCCTCAACCTGGGTTTCCTCCCACCCCTCCCTGGCTGGCTTGAGCTGCCAGGGAGAAGCCTCAGCAGCCAGTCTCAGGGAGTTTCTCAGCTCCTAGAGGCATCCGGGCTTCCAAGAGCCTGAAATAGGCCTGTCTGTGTGTGAGGGGGAAGGTGTCAGCGTTACAACCAGGCGGGAGGTGCTCCCTTCTCAGCTTTCTTCCTGACAGGAGTGGAGGCCTGGGGTCTGCCCCAGACCCTAAGGCAGCTAGCTCGGCTACCTCCTCCTTCACTGTGCCATGTATCTGCCAGGGACTGCTGCTGGTACCCAGCCTCCTCTTTGGCCCCTACCCTGCAGGCAGAGTGGGTTTGGGGACTGAGAGGGAGAAAGGGTGGTCAGAGGACCTGGTCCTATGGACGACATGAGTTTTGTTACAGTGAAGCTGTGAGAAGCTAAGGGTCTTGGCCTTTCCCCTTTCCACTGGCTGGGCCTGGGGCAGGCAGGCGGCAGCAGAGGAGTCGGTGGTGCCACAGGGAGTGGCCGATAGAGTGTTGGCTGAGGTTGGTCAAGTGGCTCCATGGAGTTAGGTGAAGTGTGGTATTGGGCGGCTCAGCCAGGCAGATCTGATTGCCATATCGGGTCTTCTCAAGTTCACCATTGGCCTTTGAGCAGAGTCTATCAGTAAATATCTCAGCCAGCCATGCCTAATCCCCTGGTGTCAGAGGTGTACAGAAGAAGAAAGGGCTCACAGGATACAGAGTGAGCCCTACTTCAGCTCCTGTCCTTCCTCTGCACCCCCCCCCCCATTCCTGGAGAAGCAACTCACTGATGAATAGCCAGGCCTACACAGATCATCTCCAGGTCCTGCAGGCCTTGCCTTGTTCCCACGTGTGCACTGTGGGCCTGGGGGGGTATGGCACACAGCCGAGAGCAGCCCTCTGGGGATGCAGACTGGCGTATCTGCGACTCTGCTCCCCACTGCGTGCTTGGGTGTGTGTGCCCACACTGCCAATCTGTGTCTCCAAGTGTCTGCAGCTTCAGCATCCCAGTGGCCCTGCTTGGTTCCCGCCACACCGGGCAGGGTTGCCCGGGACTAGCTGCCCCTTCCTTTTCCTCAGCAACCCTCCCCTAACTCCTTCAAACTGCTTCTGCTCTCTTCCCTCAAAACCTATTTCTGAGTTGGAATCCAGGCTTATCAGCAGGGAGCTGAGCAGGTCTCAGGCTTGCAGGAGGCAGAGGCAGAGAGGCCAGAGAAGGGATGGAGAACGGGAAACAGACATGCATGGGCAGTCCTGGCCCCCAGGTTTCACCCATCTTCACAGGACGCTGCCCTGCTCTGTCCTAGATTTGACAGGCCCCCCTCCCCCACTCCTCTCTTCCAAGAACGGGGGCTGACGGTGAGTGTGGCGGTTCTGCCTGCCTGTACCCCTGGGTCCAGTGCGTGTAGGAAGAGTCTAGATTTGATTTGTAGCTGGAGTCAGTCTCTGGCGTGTGGGGCTTGGAGACATCACCGAGCAGGTGTGTAAGTAACAGGTCACATGGGGTGGGAGGTCCTCAGAGACACTGCGCCAGACTCTCTACTTCTTACCCGACTGGAGGGTCCAGAGAGCAGCCCTGTCTCCTGAAAGCCATCCCCCACCAAAGAAAACAAACAAACCAAAAACTCGACCAGGATTTCCTCCCAGGAGCCTGCTGGCTCACCTGTGTCACCTGCAGCTAGCACGTGCTGGCCTCACTTTTGAGGCAGAGAGGGGCAGCTGGGCAGCCGGGCCTCTTGACCTTTACCCCCTGCTCTCCGCTGTGTTCTTCCCAAGGGCCCAGCTGGACAGCGCGTGCTGTTTCCCTCTTTAAACCCCTTCCCGGCTGAACCTCGGTTTCTCCGCCTGTCTCTAACACGGGGAGACCCACCGGTCCCTTCTGAGGTCCGCTCAGATACCCCAGGATACAGCTGAGTTGGCTCACGACTGGGATGGGCGAGTTCCTGGGCCAGGGAGACTAAGTGAGCCGCACTCCCCGAGCCGGGAATCAGCTAAGGTTTCCATCGCTCCAAAAAGCACCCCCGCCACCGTGACCCGTCCCCAGTCGCTGGGGAGGTGGCGCCGGAGCTCGCAGCGGGCCGAGCCCGCCTCTCCCCGCAGCCGCTGTCACCCTCCCCGTCCTGGGCCCCGCCAAGCCCGGAGCGACACCTACCTCACCAGGATGGCCACCCCCACATCCTCGCAGTTGGCATACAGCCGGGCCCACGTAGCCTGCACCGCCTTCCTCTCCGCCTCGGACAGCTCCTCGCTCCTCTCCCTGCGCTCTATCTCCATGTCGCCTGGCACTTTCTCCATGAGCAGCTCCGAGCCCAGCGCGGCTTCGCTGGGCGGCGGGCGCGGGGAGTCGAGGCCGGTGCGTGCGAGGCGGGCGGGCGGGCGGGCGCGGAGTAGAGCGCCGGAGGGAGGGAGCGCGTGTGTGTGTGTGTGTGTGTGTGTCTGTGCGCGCCGGGTGTGTGTGCGCGCGTGTGTGCAGGGTATATGTGCAGGGGGCGGGGGACTGCGAGCTGGGGGCGGGGATGTGGTCTGCTGGGGGTGGGGGAGGGATGTTTGAAAAAAAATGAATCCGCTCCAAAACCCCAGTCCTGTTTCGGGGAGGCAGTTCTGGCAAGGTGAAGGTTAGGCGGGATCGGGGCGTCAAGGCTGGCGTCTGCCCGCCTGACCACCCACCGGCTAGCGAGGCCACCGCGGTTCCCGCTGGGAGAGGTAGGTGTGGCCAATGTGCAGAAGGGGCTGGGAGGATCAGGGGGTCACGCGGCGCTGGGTAGCGCGGGCCGCGCCGGAGTGCGCCCGGGTCGGTGGGAGCTGGGGACGCCGGGTGCCAGCTCTCAGTGCGCGGTGCCTGGACCTGAGTGTGTGTGTGTGTCCTCCACGCGGTGGGGAACTGACTCACAGTCAAACACACCCAGGGCATCGCCACTGGTCGCCTGCTGGGGAGGACGAACCTCCTAACAAATCTGGGCTTCCCCTGTAGAGCCGCCACTCCTGAGTCTGAGACTGGGCACAGGCACCAGCCTCAGACCTGGGAACCCCAAGTTCTGGCAGGTTTAGGGCTATGCGTAGTCTCTCTTCCCATCTGCCGTTCCTCCTGGCTCTCTCTGAACTTGAACACATGTCCAGTCTGGGGAGCCAGAGCCCCGTGCCCCCCTTTCCTCCTCACCAATGCCATCCATGCCTGCAAGCAGGAAGTAAGTCCTGAGAGGCGAATTAATGACAGGCAGGTAAGAAGCAGACGCTGTCCTGAGTTCTGGCCTTGGCCTTGGTGGAGTGATGTTTCATAGAGAGGCGGTTGGCGGTCAGGTGTGACGGACAGGCTCTGGGAGCTAGAAGTCCAGAGTAAGGCACGGACAGTGGAGACAGCTGTTACCATCAAGGATTCGATTTGAGAAGCAGAAGGCAAATCCTTCCTCTCCGTAGACTGCTCAGGGAGAGTTAGGACTGGGACAGAGGGGGAGCCTTGCAGTCTGGAGAGACCCAGAAACTTCATCCTGCCAGCAGTGGCTCAGGCCTGGCCATAGGCAGCAGGAACCCTGAGACCACAGAGGGCCTTAGGTCTTGACCCAGAAAGGTGAGGTGTCTCTGGTTCTCCTTGCTGAGGATGGGGCCCTGACGCCTCGGGAGGTGTCTCTGAGGTTCCCTGTTCAGGATGAGGAGTGCCGCTGCCCAGGAGGAGCTTTGGTTCCTGCTCATTTAAAATCTTTAGAGGTATTGCCCCCCTCCCCAAACCTTGATGAGCTGAGTTCTATCCCAGGGACCCACATGGTAGAAGGAAAGAACGGACCCCTGAAAGTTGTTCTTTGACCCCCCCCCAAAACACAAATAATAACAAAGATTAAAAATCAAAATCTAACAAGTGAGATGAGACGTCACTGTTCAGTCACGGTAGGGCAACAAGGACCTTTCTGGAGCCAGCAGGCCCTTCCTGGAGCTCAGTGTCGGGGCACTGAACGGGATTCCTGGGCAGGAGGCACTGCCTCCCATCTTGGTTAGGGAAGGAAAACGGAAGGTCTTGAAGAGGACAGTGTGGTTCAGGTCCCAGCATCACTCAGCTCTTGTCCCGGTCCTGCTCCACTCACTCCTGCTCTGCTCCCTGAGGCTCAGGCAGCTAACGGGGTCCAGCTGGGATGTGCAAAGAATATTTCTATTCATCTTCCCCTCCAATTGTCATACCTCATAAGAATATATTGGCACAGGAGGCTAGCACATAATTGATTAAGTTTATAATTTATATCTAAATTATATAAGAGAGTTATATAAGATAGAATTTATAGTTCCATCCGTGAGTGCACACCTCGATTCTGTCTTTTCCTGAAAAGGGGGTGTAAGGAGGAAAATTTAGAGGGAGCGCGGGAGCCAGTTCACAGACACATTCTCCACTCCTGGTCTTTCTGGTTCCATCCTCTGTTCCCTTCTCCTCTCTCCTGTGACAGTGCAGCTCCTCTGCCTCAGCCTGTCGCTGGAGAGTGTTGCATGCTTTCATGTCAGTAGCCCAGCAGAGCTGGCTGAGGGCCCATCGTTCTCCATTACCTCCTGGCTCACTCTTTCTCTCCTGTATGGGAGGCTGAACTCAGGGCCCTGGAGAGTGCTCTGTCCCTGAGCTATCTCTGCACACCTCTTTGAGGGACTCTCATTAGGTTTCCGGAGCTGGCCTCCTCTAGTTCTCTCTGTAGCTCAGCCAGGCTTTGAACTCGAGGTGACCCTCCCCTCCCCAGTGGCTTACAGGTCTTTGTCACTGGGCCAGGCCCCACAGATCCTCTTTGAAGCTATCCTTGATGCTTGCAATTCCCCAGGTGCTCAGCAGGTGCCTTTAACACTTTATGGAAGTAAGTCACTTAACTTGATTGTGCTACCTGCCTTGAAGCCCAGGTAGTAGTGAATGTTCTGGCAGGATACTCTGGGCAGGTGCTCAGGGCCGCTGTGCGTGTCCCTGAAGGAGGATGGCTTACTCTGCCGATGGAGGGGAGATCTTGGGCCTGGTGAGTTTAATCTCTTTACAAGGTCAGGTCTGCTGACTCCACTAATCAGCTTGAACCTCCTAATCTGTCCCCGGAAACTTTCAGGAAACACGGCTGTGGCTTGTGAGAGGTGGCCGGGCAGTGCGGCCCTCGCCCGTGGCCGCCTTCTTCAGAGTTGGTCTTCGGTGGGGATGGGGCAGCTGAGCCATGTGCACTACCCTCTTCCTGCTCAGCTTGGCCATGCTGTGGCGCCGCAGATTCACCAACAACCGGGTGGAACCGTGAGAGACTGATGGGCTGTGGACTGGGGGCTTCGGGTGGGAGGAGCGACCAGGGGGAGTTACAGCTGAGCTTAGGGTGAGCAGGCCTGGTCTGGGAGGCGCTCAAAGGACTCCCTGGTGGGGTCACTCTCAGAGCAGGTGGTGCTGGGTTCGAGCAGCCAGCCCCATTACTCCTGTGCTGCTGAACTGTGGCAAGCGGGTGGGACGGAAGCTGAGGCTGAGCACTGCCTACAGGTTCTCTTGCCTGCTTTCCCCTCCCAGGGAGCCCAGCACAGTGGATGGGGCAGTTGTGGGGAGCAGCTCCGACACTGACTGTCCATCTTCCGGCAGGTGAGAGTCGGGAGGAAGTGTGAGCGTGTGTGTGTGTGTGTGTGTGTGTGTGTGTGTCTGTGTCTGTGTGGTGCGTGGGTACGGTGTTCTAGCCTTCTCCATAGTCAGTCCTTGTGTGGTGGGCAGGTGAGGTGGGAGATGGGAGTCCTTGTCCACCTCTTCTGGACCGATGCTGTGTTGCTTTGCTTCTGGGATGTGAGTGTAAGGCAGTCCCCAGGAGGACCTTCTGTTGAGGGAGCCGGGAGCAGAGGGAGGAGGCAGGAGCCACTCTGGGTCAATTCGATGCTCTCCGTCCTTGGTCCTCCCTCCTCCTTCCTCTGCCACCGACGGGCTCTGCAGCTCCGTTGCCTGAGCCTCCAGCAGGATTCGCTGTCCAGTCCCCAATAGAAGGCTCAGGAGGAGCATGACATCATCAGCACTGAGCACCATTGGCTGGGCAGCCCCTGCGGGCAGGACGCTGTCTCCAGTGGCCAGAAAGTTAACTCTTCCCTGGGTTGAAACCATGTGGCCTTTGGGGAGGTGAAGTTGTGCATTCTTCCAGACTTTTCCTTCCCTGGTTTAGCAGAGTCTTTTTTTTTTTTCTTTTTTTAAATAATAAGGGGCCTCCATGCCCCTCAAAACACTAAAACAGTAAACCAACGGCTATTTAGTACCTTTGTATAAGACATTATGCCCCATGCTCTCCCTACCATGGGCAACATCTCAAGATCAACTCTCACTCCTAGTGAAAACAAAGGGCAAAAAATATCTCCTGGGATTCAGGGCCCACCGAGATCTGTGTCCTTACCAACTTGTGCTCAGTCAGTATGGAAGGGCAAACACATTCACCCTAAAGGCGAAGTTGCTGAGAGAGGCTGCGAGGCTGCTGAAGGGCAGCGGAAGGTGACTGCTGGCCTGTCCAGCCACACTCGTGGACAAGCAGCTGACGGGAGCCTGATGCCTCCCTAGGCCTTTCTCTCTTCTTTCTTTTTTGGTTGTTTGTTTTGAGACAAGGTTTCACTATGTTGCCCTAGTTGGCCTGGAGCTTGCTGTGTGAAACAGGCTGGCTTCAAACTCTCAGAGATCTGCCTGCGCCTGCCTCTTGAGTGCTGAGCTTAAAGACGTGCTACCACTCCCAGCTCCCAGGCTTTTGTTATACAATAATTCTCGGTAACCATCGGTGTTATTTCCTGGACATGGCTGTGTATAATCACTTGGTAATGGCTGAGGAGACTGAGCAACAGGAAGATTTGAATGGGGAACCATCTGACTTCCAAGTAGCTATCTCATCTGGGCAGGCCCAGCATGGTGTGGCCTGGCCAGCAGGAAGCACTTACCTCTTAACTCCTTAGCACCCAGGTACCTGACAGTAAGGAGCCAGTTACTGATGGAGGCTGCCACAGGGCTGACTGGGGTGGCATGGGGTCAGTGGCTACATGGGAGTAGGAAGAAGAGGAAAGCCCCAGACATGACAAGTTTAACCCTTCCATCTTCTGATTCCTGTGCTTCTTTCTGTTCAGGGAGAAAGGACCTCTGAAGTAGGCCCCCACTTCTTCAGGCAGCTCGGCTCTGTGACCCAGCCAGGTAAAGGCAGTACCAGGAGCCCTGGAGGGCAGGGGGCAGGGCAGCGTTCCAGCCATGTGAGACAAGGGAGTCAGCCTTCAGCTCTCATGGTCACTGGTGGAGGTTGAGTGAGTCTGGATTGATTTCAGGACACTGGGCAAGGGCCGGTTTGACAAGAATCCAGTGTAGCCCTGAGACTTTTCTGGGCTTGGGGGTGAGGCGGTAGCTGAGCTGTGTCTGAAGGGCAACGTTGCAGGTTCTGAGGGAGAGGTTGCAGTCTGGGATGGGCCACCCTGAAGTACACATCCCACCTCTGGGCCTAGGAGAGGGCCCTGAACTGTTTTGGCTTTCTGTTCCAGCTGGAGTCCTCGTTCAACCCCTATCCCGGGAGAATGCTGTGGGGGCTGGAGCAACAGCAGGAGCGAGAATGGGAGAAGCAGCCACGGAGAAGGTAGGCTCTTCCCCCACAGCCCTAGATCCTGTCCCAGACAGGCCAAGACTCTGGGGCTCCTGGGCAATGCTGGCACCGGCAGGAAGGACACGGACACGGGTGCTTGAGCTTTCCAGGTTCCCATTCCTAAGTTCCTGCTGAGGGCTGCCAAGCTGGAGAAGGCACACAGAGAGAGACTTTCCAGCCCCTCCCCCCAGGTTAACTGGAGGGAACCCCAGCATCCCAGGTAAGGGCCAGGTGCAAGCAGAGGAGCAGAACGAAGGATAAATGAGAGCTTGCACTCAGTCAAGGGTCCTGCCATTCATTCTCTAATCCAATCCTTACCATAACCCGAAGACCATAGTCCTGGTCTGGTTGACACTCACGGGGAGAGGCCCATTACCATGCTGTCGGGTGGGGGGATCCAAGCTTGCCCCCTAGCCGACTTTGCTGCTGCTCGGCCTGGCCACCTGTCAGCTCAGGAGCTAGTCTGTTAAACCCCTGTGGTCCAGGGCTGTGTCACTTTGCTGCAGTGATGCTCATTCCCGGGGCGTCTGCCTCTTCTCAGGCCCTAGGACTCACTTTGTAGTTGGCTGCTCTCCTGAAATTATCAGTAAGGGAGGCCAGCTGTGTGTGGGGCATGTCTGCCTGAAGCTGGATGGGAGCAGACAGCAGCTTGAGCTCCGAATGTGCTTTGTGTCTGTGTGTGTGTGCATGCACGTGTGTTGTGTGTGTGTGTGTGTTCTAAATGGACACCGGCATGCGGGGAAAGCATGGCACCTGTTTTTGTCACTGTGCTGAGTGCTCAGTAACTCGGCGGCCGCCTCCCTTGCCCCCAGCTGCTCTGCCATTTCTCTCTTTACTGTCCTGCCTGATCCAGAGCAGAGATAAAAAAGCACATTTCCGCTCCTGCTCCCCCATCCAGGCTTAGCCTGCAGGCAGCTGCTCCCGACTGTCTGGGAGCCATTCATCTTCAAAAGTGCCCTCACCCATGCGCCTCCCTTCCCCATCCAGCTCCCCACTGCCAGCCCAGCAGTGATGCCTCTGTCTGGCCAGCCTCTGCCCTTGACTTTCAGGCGGCAGGAGACAAGTCCCCTAGACAGCAGGATCCCAGCGTTGCTCCGCTTCAGTGGAGGGAGAAAAGGGGGTCAGTGCAGCAGCTGAGGGACCCGGTATTGGGGTGGTGGTGTGTGGGGGGGCTGCAGGGAGCCTGCCTCGGGTATGTACACAGGCTGTTCTGCAGGAGATGCTAAAGTGGGGCAGGAGGTGTGTGTGTGGGGGGGGGGCACACTAGGGGAAAGAACCTGCCAGAGTGCCCTGACTCAGGCCACGAGCCCATGGCCACCTGTCTCAGCTCCTGCCAGCCTGTCTTCCCCCTGGGAGGCAGAAGTTGTCCTAGTGACAGGACTGTGAGGCTGATGGCCAGAGGGCACTGTTCCTAGGAACTCCGTCTGTGTTCTCTGATCCCAGCTTTGCATTCGTTCTCTAATCTATTCACCATGTTCCTGTCACTTCATCCTTGTCTCTGCTCTCTCTGCCATCTCCAAGTTGCCTACCTCCTTTCCAGTGATCCAAGAAATTGTCAGGCCAAGGTCACAGAGTGGTACCAGGGCTGGCTCCCGGCCCAGACCCGATTCTGACAGGGCAGCACCTTTCTGCAGCTCTGTTCCTTGAGCCTCCTCTAAGGATCCCTTCCAGATGAAGGGCAGACAGAGGATGGGGAGGGGCTTGCTGGCGGGGAGTGTGGGTGTGGGGTGGGGGCTGGGGAGGCGGGATGCAGGATGAGACTCCCTGGGACCCGGCAGCTGGGATGCCATGTGGGCTGGGAGGGAGGGCTCCTCTCCCCCTGGGGAGCAGGCTGGCTTTGGTGGGAGCAGACTGTGTTTACACCTTGCCCGCACACCCTGCCCACGCTCGGCTTATTCCCAGGGCCTCTCCCACCCCAGCCTCTCTGTGAAGTCTGCACATTTGCAGCTCTCCTTGCTGTAGAGTCCCTTCCCTCACAGGGGAGGCTTCTACTGCCCATGCACCCTCCCCTCGGCCTGGAACTCCTCTTCAGGAGGCTCCCAGCACCCAGGTGCCTTCCCTCAGCCCACTAGCTCCCATCACACAGGTCAAGGGAGGGGCTTTAAAGCATGAAGCGTTGTCAGTTAGTTCTTGGCCATGACCAGAGGCCAAATTCTTCCCTTCCCCATTTCCTTGGAAATAGCTGCAGTTTGGAAACAGGGACAGGGATATCCAGATGCCTGGTAGGCAGAAAGCTAAGGGCAGTGGGAGAGACAGAGCCGAGATGAAGAGATGGTTTTGTTTCCTTGCCTACAAGACAGGTAGTTGTGCGAGGGTTAGATGACGCGTGCAGTGGCTAGCTCACTGGTGAGCGCTGCAGGCCTTCCAGTCTGTGGGTGTGAACTATGTCCAGCTGTGACAGCTCTTTCCTCCTCACCCCAGGGCACTTCCTCTCCTCTCTCCACATACATCACAGCCTGGAGATGAGCAAGTGAGAAGAGGCCAGAGGGCAGGGGAGGTGGAGAGGTGGCTGAGAGCACCCATCCAGGGCCTCTCTGTGTGCAGACAGCTGTCTCAGCCCGGCAGCTTCCTGTGACAGGCTTTGCTTTCCAAGCCAACCTCAGCTACCCAAGACAGGAGTCAGTTGCCCTGCTACCTTCCCTCCCATGTCTGAATGCTAATCTCCCTACTGCTGACAGCCTGAGTGACAGGGAAAAAGCTGCTCTGAGCTACAGGGTGGCCAAGGGCAGCAGCCTGAGCAGGAAGTGCTGCTGTCTGCTGCTTCTGTGGCTGACACTCAGGACGGCTGCCAGTCTCTCCTGGAGTCTGGAACATGACCAGAGAACAGATGAAACAGTGTGGGGGAGCAAGGTAGTGGCTCTAGCAGCTTTAGCAGCTGTTGCTATCTCATGCTAGCCTGTGCCACCTCAAAGCGAACCCACCCATCCCAAATGTGTAGCGTGTGTATGAAGGAAGAGCAGTCCTGAGATGGGAATATGGCAGGTGCGCTGGCTGGTACTAGACGAAGTGGGACCTGGGACCAACTGAGGCAGGCAAGAGCAGAACTGAGTGGAGTACCTCACTCTCCTGGCCTGTTTTCGTGCTGTGCTCTTTGCAGGGCTTTGGGCTGTTCAGGAGCTGTGTCCTTGTGCTGGAGGAGAGTGCTATTTCTTTGTGAGCCAGAAAATAAGAATGTCAGGGTGGCCATGCGGCAGCTTACATTAACAGAATGCTAATGACACTAATAATACTATTAATGATTGCTAATATGGATCAAACACTTATTATATGCTAGGCACTGAGCCCAGTGTCTTATTTATAAGCATGGTCTCATTGATGAGGCAGGGACTGCTGTTATCCTCATTTACCCAATAAGGAAAACGAAGTTCACAGAGTGTGTTCAAGGTCACAGCTGGCAGTCAAGCCAGGACCTGTGTCTGGGAATCTGATGCCAAAGCTTATGATAGAGAGGTCCTGAATCTGGAGATGGGGGCTTCAAAAAAAAAAAAAAAATCAGCGTGTGACCTACAAGGATACAAGGGCCTGGCTGTGGACCTGCCTGCCACATCTGTCTATGCAGCTGTGTCAGGGCTGCCCAAGAGATCCTTGCTGCTTTCCCTTCAAGCACATGCCAATCAAAGGCAGGCCAGACCCTGGGATCTGAAAGGCTAGTCCTTGCTTGCCTGCTGGGGAGAGCAAGTAGAGTCTGCCTCCTTAGGGTCCAGCAGTGCCCCTGAGACAGGAAGTGCTGGCCCCTGGCAGGGATGACAGACAGCAAGGCCATCGCTCATGATCACTGTCACTTGCCACTCTGTTGCCTCCTTCAACCAGGGTCAGGACTCTGGGGAAAGAGTGACAGGCAGCTGCCCAGTTGCAGAGGAGGAGGGCTGAGGAAGGTGAGAGCTTTAAAGATTTGTTTGCCTGCCAGGAAAAGAGGGAGGGGTGTGGAGTGCAAGAAGGTAGCTTCAAGGACCTGCTAGTCAAACTGGGACCACAGACCCTCTCTGTGAAGGGTATCCTGTGCCCCTGGTAGGGATTTAAGACCACAGTGTGGCTATGAAAATTCAAACAGAGAAAAAAAAAGATTTAATGATAGGCTGAGCTTACGAGCCAGAGTCAAAGTGCCATTTTCATTCCTATCTTAACACACACACACACACAATCACGTGCACAGTGTGGGCAAAAACCACATGAAAAAGTCAGCGTGTGTTCACCTGTTTATTTACAAGCGTTCGGTGGGATGCCAGGGTACACAGATCACAGTGCTGAGGGAGTGACCCAGCGGCGTCAGCCACCGTCCCTGCCCTGCTGCCTAGGGCCCTGGAAAGATGCTGGTGAGGAAAGACGCTAGCTCAGCTCTGCTGACTCAAATGGCTTTTTATTCTCTAGACCTCAGTTTCCCCACTCAGTAAACATGGGGAATCTGCATGGCCTGGTGCTGAGATGTGAAGATCTCATGACCTCCCCAGGAAGGGAAGCGGCTGGAGGAGCTCCAGGGCTGCTTAGACTATCTCCACCGAGAGAGACTCCGGTGCTGCGTCTGGCGGTGCTGACAAGGATGTGCCCACGTGACAAACACTTATGGAGTGCCTGTGTGCCACAGTGCAAAACCAGATTCAGAACACCTGTCAAATCCAACCAGAAACTGGACAAGACGTAAGAAGCAGGCATGACAGTGGGTGGCACGCAAGACGGTGACCCTGTGACTGTCTCAGCCTCTGCTCAGAATCAATCTCTCGTCAGGAAGGAAAACCAGAGCAGGTGAGGAGACAGTGTGACATTCATGGTGACATGCAGAAACAGAGGCAGCAATGGCAATTCAACAGGGGGCAGAACACACAGAAGGAAAACCGACCGCACTTGAACAAAAGTAAACGTACACACTTGTGAGGACTGGGTGGGAACACTGGCCAAACAAATGGCCTGGGTGTGGCTCGGGGGTCGAGTGCTGGACTGGCAGTGCAAAACTCTGGGTTCAGTCCTCAGCCCCCACCCCAACCCCTGACAAACAAACACCCAAACAAGCTGGGTACTGTGGTGTACTTGCAAGGCAGAAGCAGGGGGATCCCTGTGAGTTTGAGGCCAGCCTGGTCTACATAGCGAGCTCCAGGCCAGCCAGGGCTACATAGTAGGAACCTGTCTCAAAAAACAAGACAAAACAAGCATCTAAGAAAGACTTCTATCGGGAATAGAGATGGCTCAGAGATAAAGAGCATTTGCTGCTCTTGCAGAGGACCAGGGTTCAGGTCCCAGCACTTACATGGTGGCTCACAATAGTCTGTAACTCCAATTTCAAGGGATCTGACACCCTCTTCTGGACTTGGAAGGTTCCCACATGCATGTGGGCACAAAGCTCATACCCACACATAGAGAAATAAATCAATTTAAAGAGTAGAATGAAGAACGTTTATAATTCAGGGGCTGGACATCTGGCTCCACAGTTGAGCTGCTTTTCCGGGAGACTAGAATTCTGTTCCCAGTACCCCAAGGCAGCTTACAACTACCTGTAACCAGTTTCAAGGGATGTGACTTCCTCTTCTGGCCTCTGGGCACTGAACCAACAATGCGCATAACCAACCCCACATACACACACAAAGAAAATATTTCTCTTTTTTTTAAAGACTTATTTATTTTATGTACGTGAGTGCTCTATGTGCATGTGAGCCTGTGGGCCAGAAGAGGGCATCCGATCACATGATAGATGGTTGTGAGCCGCCATGTCGTTGCTGGGAATTGAACTCAGGACCTCTAAAAGAAGAGCCAGTGTTCTTAACCACTGAGCCATATCCTTAGCTCCAATAAAATATTTTAAGAACTTTCACAGATCCTGGTGAGGTGGCAGACACCTTCAATCCCAGCACTTGGGAGGCAGAGGCAGGCAGATCTCTCTGAGTTCCAGGACAGCCTTGATCTACAAAGAGAGTCCAGGACAGCCAGGGCTCTGTTACAAAAAGAAACCCTGTCTCGAAAAAACAAAACAAAAAAGAAACTTTTACAGTTCAACAACTCACACAATTTGTAAAAGGGAGAGGGAAAGGTTTTAATAACCATTCTACCCCCAAAATTCTATGATTATGGCCAATAAGCTCAAAACCAGCAGGCGAGCTGCACCACACGCCTGTCGCCAGGGGAACGCATGGGGAATTTGAAATTTTGCACTGTAACCTCTTGGGAAGTTAGTGCAGTAGTGACTTATAAAGTAACCCCAGAACAAGGAAAACTTACATCCCCAAAAAGGTTTTACAAAAGGGCTGACAGCGGCTTTGCTAGTAAGAGCTCCACACTGAAGATAACCCAGATATCTATCACAGTTGTCTGTGGGTAAACTGAGCTATGTTTGTACACTCAAAAACAAAGAGAAAATGAGGCATTTACCTAAGGGACAATATAGGACAATTAAGAAAGCAGACACAGGCAAGGATCCTGTCTGTGGTCACATTTATGAAATGCTAGGACTAGACTAATTGATAGTGACAGAGTGCAGAGCAGGACCAGTCTCAGGCCACAGCTGGACATGGGAACTGACTGTAAAAGATAAGGAGAGCCCTGTGGGTGCTCAGGGTAGCAAAAAAGGTTTTGAATCTCGATTGGGTTTGTGCTTATGTGCATGTGTTTGCTTACTGGACTCTAACGGTACATCTTGCATATTTTATTCTGTGTATTTTATACCTCAATAAAGATGACTTTCATAGTTAAAAGCAAAACAAGAACAAAGACCTAATCATTATTTTCTCACACTGCAGGAAAAAAAAAAAAAAAGCAAATGTGGCAGCAGTCTCTAATCCAAGACACCAGAGGAGCTGATTGCAAATGCAAAGCCAGGGTGTGCGACCTGGCTTTGTGAGATCCTGTCCCCTGTCCCCAAAAGGGGGAGGAGACATTTGCCTTGAATGCATGTACTCTGGGTTCAGTGCCCAATGATGGAAGGGAAGGGAGAGAGGGGGGAAATGATACAAATCGGGGTGGGGCTATGGAGACAGCTCAGCAGTCAGAAGGGCGTGTTGCTCTTGCAGAGGACCTAGGCTCAGCACCCCCACCCCAGGCTCACATCCATCTGTGACTCCAGCTCTAGGGGATCTGACGCTCCTTGACCTCATAGGCACCTGCGCACACACACATAAATAAAGTAAACATGAAAAAAACAGTGGGCACAGGTGGTGGTGGTGCACGCCTTTAATCCCAGCACAGAGGCAGGCGGATCTCTGTGAGTTCGAGGCCAGCCTGGTCTACAGAGAGAGTTCCAGGACAGTCATGACTACACAGAGAAACCCTGTCTCAAAAAAACCAAACCAAACCAAACCAAATCAGTGGGAAAATGAGTGTGAGAAGAAATGTGTGTCGAGGGCTCCCCTTTGCGGTGTACTTACTCTGCCTAGCACTGTGTCAGTGTTTTCCATACGGTCTGAAAGCAATCCTGTGAGATTCAAATTGTGGCCCTTCTCCCTCACTGTAAAGATGAGGCAGGCTATAGCGATGCTTATCTTTGATCCCAGCACTTGGGGGCCGGGCAGAAGCAGGCAGAGCTCTGTGAGTTCTAGGCCAGCCTGGTCTACACTGTGAGTCCTGGGACAGCAGAGCTATAAGGTGAGATCCTGTTTCAAAAACAAAAATCAGAGGTAGGACAGACAGGTGGAGCAACCTATCCAAAGTTGTTCAATCTAGGCTCAGGTGAGCTGGGGTTTTCCTCCAGCCTGGTCCAGTAACAGAGCACATGCCAAAACACCTGCCACAATAAAGGTGCCACAGGAACCTTGGCGGTTGCAGCGCAGCAGCTGAGGACACACAGAGGAGGTGTTTAAGAGGAGCTGGAATCTGCCAGGCAAAGAAGAGGATGAGGGGAAGGGAGGTCAAAGCAAAGGGAACAAGACACCAAAAGCAGCTTACGCAACATCGAGAAGGCAGGGATTTCCGGGAATGGGAGACACGTCCAGGAAGCAGCAGATGAGGTCCAGACGATACCGAATATTCTTCAAACTTGTTTATTTTTAAAAATCCTTTTTTAAGTGGCAATTTTATTAGAGGAAATGGTTTTGTAGATATGTTGGGTGAAGGCATGGCTTTTTTCCCTGTGTGTATGTTTTGTTTTTGTTTTTTACACAGAATCTCACTGTATAGTTCTGGCTGGCCTAGAATTCACTATGTAGACCAGGCTGGCCTTGAACTCGGAGAGACCCACCTGCCTCTGCCTCTGCTTCTTGAGAAAGAGTAAACGTGAAAGTGTATCTCTAAAGCAACGAGAGATGAAAACAGAGGGTTTTGGGCCTGGCTATCTCAAGCAGTTCACTGGCAGCTTCAAGAACTCCTTCTTTCCAATCTACCTTTAGAGGCATCAGCTCTTGCTTGGAAGGGAGCCTCACAGATTGCAGACAGCTGCAGCAAGCCCAAGCAGCATATTTCTACAAAGACCCAGAGCCAGCAGAGAGGCTGTTGTTTTTAGATGCAAGAATCCCAAACTTGGCTAGAATTGTATTGCAGACAAGATGGAGGTAGAGCAGCTTCCAAGCAGGCCACCAAACAAGCCTGCACACAGACGAACTTCCTGTGAGATCACTGGTGCAGCTGCTCCACCGTACGCAGCCCGCTCCTTCGAGGCACCACCAACCCTCCTTCATGATCTTACCAATAAAATCGAAGATCCCCTTGGGGATTGAGAAGGGAACTTCGATATTGTAAGGACTGCTTTCCTATGACAGCTTTGAGACCACATCTTTCAGCAACTGCCCCAGCATGGCAGGTCAACTGACTAAATGTTCCCTGTGCACTCTTGAGGTTGAGCCTCTCACAGCACTGGGGGCGGGGGGTGGGGCAGAGTGGGGGTGCGGGTGATATTCAGCTAAGTGTGGGTCCATTTCCCACACTTAGCACTGGACTGCGGTGCCTCACAGGATGACAGGAGACCCCACAGAACGGCTACAGAATCCCACTGTGCGCAAGGCTCAGCCGCACTCATCACTGTCAGCAGCAAGGAGTGCAAATGAGCTCACAGTCACATTAGCACTTCATTTGGAGCAGCTCTGGCCGTGGCTGCTCATTCAGGAGTTCTCACACAGCCTTTGAAGCTTCTGGCCTGCCTACACACTTGTCCTCACGTGTGTTCTTGGCACAAGGCCTCTGGAGTTTGCTCCAGCCTGTTGGCCACTGCCTGACTGCTGGTGGCACCCCCACTGGTTGTGTGCCTCTGGCTGTTCCAGATGTACAGCTGAGCTGTTCAGGAGAAACTGTCACACAGAGACCTGCAGGCAGAGCCATGAGCTAGGAATAGTGGTCTCTCTGCACAGTGGGTAGCAATTAGCCTGGGGCTCCGAGACAGCTAGATTCCCAAAGCCTTACAGTGTTGTAGGAAGTGGTTCCCAACCCGCTCATTCTCACTCTGCCACCACGTGGCTCAAACCAACAGAGTAGGTGCTCAGCATTCTTCCATCAACCTTTTTTTATTAGTCTCCAACCACTTCTGTAAAGGCAGGAACACTGCAGCTGGGGAGATGGTTCAGCTGGCGAAGCTGCACAAACAGCACACGTGAGCCCAGATCCCCAGAACTCACATAAGCTAGGGGTAGGGGCGAGAGAAACGGCTCAGTGGTTGGGAGCATTTGTTCTTCTAGAGGACCCGGGTCCTATTCTCAGAAACCAAATGGCACCTTACAGCTGTAACTCCAGTTCTGGGGGTAATCTGACATCCTCTTTTGGCCTCTGTGGGCACCAGACACACACATGGTGCACAGACATGTATGCAGGCACCCCCAACACACACACACACACACACACACACACACACACACAGTAAACAAACAAAACAGAAGAAGAAGCTGGGTACAGTGGTTTGTGCCTGTAATCCCAGCTCCGGGAAAGTGGACACAGGGGGATCCCAGAGGCTCACTGGCCAGTCTAGCCAAATACACAAGCTCTAGACCTAGTGAGAGACTCTGACTCAAAAAGTAAGGTGGAGTGCTGGAGAGATGGCTCAGAGGTTAAGAGCACTGGCTGTTCTTCTAAAGGTCCTGACTTCAGTTCCCAGCAAACCACATGGTGGCTCATAACCGTCTATTGTGAGATCTGGTGCCCTCTTCTGGTGCATAGGCAGAATGATGTATAAAAAATGAATCTTAAAAAAAAAAAAGGTGGAGCTTGAGAAAGGGACCCAAAGTTGACCTCTGACCTCTGCATGCGCTTGTATACTCCATGTGTATCTGCATACATGTTCACACACATACATATGTTTTTTAAAGATACAAAAAGCTTCCTCTGTTTTTCATTTCCCCCGAAAAGTTGTTACATACTAGATCAACTCACTGTATGTAGCAACTCAGTGATAAAAGCATCAACTCCACAACCAAGTCTAACTTGACTTTAAACAGTACCTCATCTCTCAACGTGCGTTTCTTCATCTGCCAAATGGGATAACGACAGGGCTTCATCGAGCATAGGATTAAAGGACCTGATATAGTGAACAGACACCTAGAGAAAGTATTAACTCTGTCATTATTCTGTCTGCAGAAGGTCACGTGGCCACAAGTTTCACAAACAGCTTTGGGCAAATTCTTCAGAATTCCCTCTGCAAGTCTCAAATGAAAGAACTTCTCCTGCTGGGAGAAAATGCATTCTTCCTTTGAGTATTAAACAAAATAATCTGTCTTCAAGGGCAGGACAGAAAATTCAAGGACCTACGTTCTTGCTGAATAAATTAATGATTATTTCCTTGGAACATTCTGTGAAAAGACACAGCCAAACACTAAACCCTGCACTGTGAGGAAATAAAGAAGAAAATATTAAGAGACATCCCCCCTGCTCCCAAAGCAGTCACGATCAAATGAAAGGAGATGAATACAAGCAAATATGGTCATTAAGAATATGTATCAGCAGCAGATTTGCACATTAAAAAATGATAACAGGCTAAATGGTGCAGGGTCCCATTCTAGCAGAATGCTGTGAGGGTTATACGAGGCTCTTGGTCTTGCAAATTTAAATTTATTTCTAAAAAGGTGTTTAAATTCTGGCCCTGCCCTGCCATTTTCCCCTATTCAAAAATGAAGCCAAGATAGAAACCGAAAAACGCCACAGAAACGAGGCAGGATAGAATGGCATGGGAACTCTTGGGGACAAGAGAAGGGAACGGAGTCTCTCATTAAGGAATATAGTCAAGCCTCTTGCCAACAGAGAAGCAAGGGCTCTGCACTTAAGGCCCTTTCTTCCTTCCCAGATAGAAAACTACACTTTTCTGCGACTCTCACCATAGACCAACCATATTTACAAGGGGAGGGTACAAACTCCCCCCTCTCCCCTCCCCGGCCCATGCAGCCCCTACTGGCTTATGGACGCCAAGTCTATCCAGAGCTCTGGAACCACCACACTTCGCTCATTTACCAAGAGAGCAAGAGAGTGGGGAGGAGGATGTCTCCCAGCATCCTCCGAGATGTAACTCAGGAGCTACTAAAAGGGTGCGCTTGGCTAACGCAAAGGCAATTAATTGCAACTCTCACTCGAGCCCATTCCCACACTGAGGTATGTCGTTCTTTCTGAGCGCCTCCCTTTCTCCTAGTCCTCCCTCTGAATACCTCTATTAAAACTATTTTATCTCCAGCTTACACTGGCTAGTCCTGAAATTCTTCTCAGCACGGAAGCCCGGAACCACGGTCGAGGTCCCTGAGGGATTGGGGTAACGCTTCGGGCTTCAGGAGGCTACAACGTGAAGCTGTGTCTCTGCTCGCTCACCGCGGTTTTCCCGACAACCCCAGAAGAGTGCCCCCGGCAGGCCTGGACCCCTGGGCCCCGACGGTCGCCTCTGCGGCCCTCGAGCGCCCCCTGCAGCCCGCACCCGCTCCCATCGTGAAAGCAGCGGACAATGCCTTGACGACCTCCCTGGGCTTCACTCTCCACACCAGACAAAATCTGCGGAGCATCAATAACAAGCCTCGGTTTCCTCATCAGTCCAGCACCCTGGAACATGCTCTGCCTCCCCAGCCTCAGCCAGGGACCGCCCATGTTCTCCACAGACCCGGCTTCCCACCCCGACCCTCTGCTGCCCCCGCTGGTTGCCACTATCTTACCCCCTTCTCTTCACTCAGGCAAAGGAGACGACTGACACGTGTCAACGGTGGTTTTAGAACTACATTTCCCATGAGGCCTCAAGACAGCGAGAGTTGCGGCGAGATGGGGGTGGGGCGGGAAACTGCGCGCAAGCGCAACCTCGTCCTTTCCGAGCTTGTGCCGCGTGTCGGGAAGTTATGGCTGCTTCGGTCCGTGGTGCATACTCACTGAATAGCCTGGGGGTTCGGGTGTTGGTAAGCTGTGGAAAAGGGGAGGTGAGGTTTTTGTACTTCTACCGTCGACATGGTCGCTCCAGAGGTGAAGTGGCAACCGTGTGCCCCTTTCCTTTGCTATTAAAGGCCTTGGGTCTGGTATAAGAAAATGCTTTCCAGGCTGCGAGGAATTTTATGTGGAAGGGTTGAAGCCCGTTTTGGCTTCTAACTCCCATCTCTGTGGGGCCAGGGCTTTCAACCTGGGCAGCCGTCTGCCTCACAACCAGCCACGTGCAGAACATGCAGCCCAGCGGCTTTGGGGTGTCCATTGAGGGTGGTGGCCCCTATTCCAGAGCCTTCGCCCGTGAGTACGTGTGCCCCGTAGTAGTGCCTTGACTTGTGTAACGACTGCAGGTTGTAACAAAGGGGATTTCAAAGTAAAAATCCATTGTTTTAACGTGGCATGATTTTCTTTCCCCGAAGGCATTACATTGGCACCTGAGGGGACACGCTGCAGGTTCGTCCCGGAAGTAATGGCCGGATCCCTGAGAGTAAATGGTCCAGGTGTGGTCACCACGGGAGAAGGTAGATGGTGGGCATCTGCCTCATGACACTTCATTTTGAAGCTCAGCTAGAAGACTGCCTGTTGAACCCTGAGCCCATTTAGGTAAGAGTTCTACCCAGAGCCCAGAAGACAGGTGTGGTCTGTGCCAATGTAATTTGGGCCACTGATGTCATTCTCAAATGACCAGGGATGAAGGGAATCTGAGTTTGGGTTGGCTGGGATTTAGGAATTTGTGATTGGTTGAGCTGAGGATGATTTAAAGTTATCCCTGTCTGAAATGACGTCTTTTGTGAAGAGTCGTGGTTTACTGAGGCTCAACTTATAAGACCTATTTTGAGGTTAAACACGTTAAGGTTGCATCTGTTAAAATGAAGTGTGTTGTCTTTAGTCTTTTCAGAGTGGAGCTGTTGGCTCCTGGAGACAACCGTTGTATAAGATGTGGCACATAGAGCCTCCATGATGACTCTGCATGGTAAGAGCCTCTTCCCAGAAATGCAGGGGCTGTGGGTGTTGCGGGATTGGCTGTCCAGATGAGGGAAAGCCTCTGCTCTCACAAGCTGTATTTACCATGTGGGAATACAGAATCGCTCCTTGCTGTGCTGCCAAGTAAACTGAAGCTTAGGGGACTCTGCTCAAAGGTACGTGAGCAGCTGTTGCCTTCTAGGGGACATCTATCTAATCGTGCTGGGTGGGTGTCCTTGACGGCACAGGACAGCCATTCTAAGGACATGTTGCACCCAAAACATCAGAGGCAGAGCTGCATTTTAGACAGTGTTTATTGTTGTTTGGGGCCCATTCTAGATTACAGATGTGGGCCTACCACTTGATTGGCACAGAACCTTGTGTCTTTCCTAAAGCAGAATTGGTGGTTTCCCAACCTGGATGTATCTCAGGACACCTAAAAAGTTAAAATTACCTATTTCCTGGATCCACCTCTGCCAGTGGATGAGAACAGTTCTGGGGTGGCAAGCGGAAACAGCTCACTGGGGGATCCGTTCTACTTTGAGCTTAGGTTTTTTTTTTTTTTTTTTTTTTTTTTTTTTTGACATGGTGTGTGTGTGGTCCTACTCGTCCTGGACTCCCTTTGTAGACCAAACTTTGAACTCACAGCTATCTACCTGCCTATCCCTGAGTGCCACGATTAAAGGAGTGTCCCCCACACACCCTGCCAGCACCGCCTATTTTTAAGTGGCTCTTGGGATAGATTTTTTTTTTTTTTTTTTTGACAGAAAACGTGCTTGCTTTGTGTAACGTATAAGGTGTGATAGATGCAGTCCTTCAACTGGCTCACTGAAGTAGGGGGTGACATACCATTTCAGGCATTCTGTTGAGTCTAGAAAGACTTGTCAGATACTCTGGCTATAAGACAAGCTGCTGCTGGGTGTGACATTTTTCACTCCAGAGTCTGACCATGTAACCTAGGTTGTCCTTGAATCTCTTAGGTAGCACAGGTTGGCTGCCTTGGCTTCCTGTAACTCCAGTTCTAGGGGATCCCATGCCTCTTCTGGTCTCTCCAGGCACCAAACACACGGTGCACCCACGTACGTGCAGTCAGAACAGACGTAAAAATAGCTTTAAATTTCCTGTGCACAAAGGCCGGCTGTGTTGTGGGAGCTGAGTCCATGATGATGTAAAGTTATCCCTGTCTGAAGGCCAAGAGGCCTTTCTGTGTGGATTGTGGATGTCTGAAACTCAGCCTCCCCAGCTTGCCAGGCAGGCCCCAGATGTGACTTTTAAGTGAATTGGTTTGTTTAGAGTTAACCTTGTGTGTGTCCCTTATCACCAGGTACAGGCTCAGCCCCCGTTTCTGGGCCTGCGAAGGATGTTGTGGAAAGCCACAGGACCCAGAATGATACGAGTAAGCAGAAGAGCTTCCCACATAGCTGGTGCAAGGTGAGATAGCTCCCTTGTGACAAATGAAGCAATTGCTCTCCTCTCTGTAAGCCTTTGCTCCCTTTTCAATCTGAGATGAGTCTTAACTGTACACCAGCACATAGCCTGTGACTTGCTATGTAGACCTGCTTAACCACAAACGAATTTGAGGTCAACCTGCATCTGCCTTCCAGGTGCTGCGATTAAAAGCATGCATCACCATGCCTGGCCCTTTGTGACTTTTATGTTCCTGTTTTGTGTTCAAAAGAAGCCCATAAGCCTATGATGGATGGTTAGTTATCCCTGTCTGAGATTTTCAACTGAGGGAAAATAACTCTGTTCTGAGGCTTAGGGGCGTGGCTCCATGTTCGAAGAAATTCAAGCTTTATAAGGGATCAAGTTGAATAGACTCCATAGAGAGTTGTGCCAGCCTTCCAAAGCTGGAGGTCTAGTTGCCCTGTTAATCCTCCCCCACCTTGGGTGCTCTGGTGGCAGAGCCCCTGAGTAGGCTGAAATGGGAGTGAAAGGGTGCTTGTTGCATATTTCTAGAAAATGAATGCTCTTTAGGAGGAGACAGGAATGTAAGGCTTGTGCCAGCTTATGCCATGAGAAGGCTTAATGACTCTGTCCTTGCCTCTGCAGCAGTCCTGATATTTAGGAAAGAAGGTGCCATGACCCTGGTAGCCTCCTCACCACAGCTTAGGTCCTGTCTGAATGTCATGGCTGCCTGGTGGGCACCAGAGAAGCCAGAGAGAAACTAGTGGGGGTGGGGTGGACTCTATCTTCAATAATGCCTATTTCAGGGTCTAGCTTGAAGTATGTCCGTTGTCCTTTTCTGGGGAAACAGGGAGGTGTGCACAAGGCTTACACTGAGAGGGAGTCACATTTTTGTCTCATCACTAAAGCAGCTGCATTTGGGGTGAGATCTACCGAGCGCAAGCTGCCCACGGCCTGCAGGGGAAAGAGTGAAGGCTCAGCTTCGCTCCTGAGTGGACTCCAAGGTTCAGGTCCTCAGAGAGTTGGTTGAATATAAATATTCCTGGTGCTTCATGAGAATCCTTTTCTGGCCATTTGCCAGAAACTTCGCTTTCCTTAAAGTTCTCATCCCGCATTGGCACTTTTGATAGTTCCTGCCTGTGCGCAGTGCATATAATGCCTGGTAAATGACGGGTGGGAATTCTAGCACTGAATCCTAAATAGTTCAGTTTTAAATCACTTAGCTATCTGTTTCCTTCAAATTAATACTAATTTTTGTTTCCAGGTTATTGCCTTGTAGTGCCAGAGAGAACCTGCTGCCGCTCTCCCAAAGAGAGAGCAGGACAAAGTCAACTGTCTACATTCACCTTGGGAGGCCTTTGGCAGCTGGTGAAGGCGCCCAGACAGGAGGCACTGGGGAGGCAGGTGTTCAGCCTGGAACACAGTTCCCACAGTGAATTTCCTGGGAAGTTGATTGATTGACTTTGTGTTGTGAAGTACAAATAAAGTTTATAAACTTTGACTCAGTGCCTGTGGATGCAGAGAATCAGGTCTTTTGTGTTGATCTGCTAAAATTGACTTTGCTGCTTAACACTGCCTGATACCTCACAAATGCAGGGGTGATGGGTTGGAGAGATGACTGTTGAGCACGGGGCTGCTCTTCTAGAACACCCGGGTTTAATTTCCAGTACCTACCCAGTGGCTCACAGCCACCTGTAACCCTAGTCCTAAGGAATCTGTACTCTCTTTCTGGCCATCATGGGTACCGGGCATGTAAGCGATGCATAGGCCAAAACAGGAAAACACTCGTACACATAATAGATCTTAAAGTCAAAGGAACATCGATAAAAGTACTGCTAATGTGTGCACATGGATGGGCTCAGAGGGTGCAAGGGAGGTAGGAGTTTAGTACCCTGCTGTCAGCTGTGTGAGGTCCTGGAAGAACTGACAGGACTGTGATGAAGTTAGCTGGCAGGACTCACGTTTACCCTTGTTCTAACTTCTGCTTTTGGGACAGCAGGAAGAGGCTGTAGATTCCATGGTAACTAAACCCCAGGCTGGGTCTCAAACTATTAGCAGGCCTGTCTCAGCCTGGAATTAAGGTAGGAGCCACCATGGCCACTCTATTGGATTTGCTTTTGTTTTTTGAGACCAGCTCTGGGTGGCTGGCCGTGCTGGGAATAAAAGTGCCTACCACCACTCCCAGCTGTCTTGAGGTTTCTTTTTTAAGTTGTTAAGGTCAGTAGCTATCCCCGTCATTTTTCCCAAACCACAGAACTAAAGGTCAGTCCTTAGCCTTGGGGTGTCTGACCAGCAGTCTCCATAGCTACCCATTCCCCAACCCCAGCCTTATGCGGTTTTAGGGACTGTATGATGGTTGGATGAGACTGGAAATGGCTCATGAAACTAAAGTGCCTCAGTTGGTGTTTATTGAAGCTATGATGTGAGGGTGAGGGTCCATCACTCAGTAATCCTGTTGGTGACGAGAAATACATCTCCAGTAGGACTTCTCTCAGTGGTGGTAACGTGTGAGGCTGGTCAGCTGCTGGTACCTCCCATGATACGGTACTCGGCGCTTACAACCCGGGTCTCGGTGCATGTGTCTGCTAGGTAGTCTCTGTTCTGAGCGCCACCACACTCCTTCCCTCTAGACTGTCTTCTCCTTTACCAACAAAAAAGGCAAAATGGTCATCCATCACTTACCCTATTTTCTAGCCTCAAATTACACTCTGCCTCTGGTTCTAGCCCTCTCTCCGAGGCAGAGGTGTTGTCCGAAAGCTTAAGGTGTCCTCACAGGTTGAACGGCTTGGCATGTGGGAACTGTGCCACTGGTTTCAGCTGGGGGTGGGCCTCTGCTTGGTCTTGCTTACGGGATAGCCCTGAGTACTTGAATATATGTCTAGTTGCTCAGGAGCAGGTGCTGGCTTTCAAATACTTAGCTCTGAGACATACCTGCCTCTTTGCTAGTGAAGATCATTGTCTCATTTTGTGGGTGTTAAAAGTTCAATTTTAAAACAAATCCTGCAAAGTAGCCTGCCCTCCCTCGGCCAAGACCCAGAAGGCTTTTCTTGAGTCAAGACGGTCCCAGGCGTTGTGAACAGGCTCTGGTGATGTGATGGCCATGGGTCTCGGTCTCAGTGCCCACTGGTGGGAAGTAGAGGACCAAGGGGAGTGTTGCCTCTTCCAAAGGTTGAAAGGTCAGAAAAAGTGCTTTTGAAGCAAAGAACTCTGGTACTTTCGGTGTCAACGCTGGTACAGCCAAAGGATGCCGGCGTTGTGCAAATCCCGCCAGAGCGCGGCTTCCAGGGACAGATCGTGGTTTGCGTAGAATATCAGTGGTTTCTTTTCTCGGTCGAAATAGTGGTCTGAGTATTTCTGGTAGTTGCTTGTGATGAATCCATAGGCACTGACCTGGGCAAGGACAGTCACAGCATTTGTTTACTTGAAATAGTGTGCGGTCCCCAAATAGGTTCCCTTGTAAAGATGGAGGAAGCAGATAAACAGTTCAACATGGGGACTGTGCCCTTTGAACACATTCTCGAAGATGGGCCTTAAGCCCATCGAACAGAAGGGGAGGTTAGTAATTACAGATGCCCCCGTTCGGGCAGTGGGGCAGAGCTGGGTTTGCCACCTGAGTGTGATTCAGACATCATGAAGTTCAAGGCTGGAAGCAATCACCCAGGACTGCAGTGACTGCGCTTGAGAAAGACCTGCATTGGACTAGGTGAAGTGTACAGGGCCAGGGTGGTGGCTAACCTCCATCCCTCAAGCCTTTAGAGGGAATCACAGCCTGATTAAGGACTGAACCTAGGGTCTCATGCTTCCTTCATCTGCATTCCATACCCTGCCCTTGAAAACTCGGCCTCCCTCTGCCCCCTTTCACATCACCAGGCAGACCCTACTTTAACCACAGTTTTTTGGGGTTTTTTTTTGGGGGGGGGGAGGTGGGAGGTGGAAGGCTGACCCATGCCAGCTCCAGGACATCCCCAGCCAGTTCTGAGGTTTTTGTTTTCAGAAGAGCTGTTTGGCCAATTGCACCTTAGATACCACATACAAAAAGGGAAGCAGGGCAGGAGGATGTGGGAGCTGAAGCAAGGCTGACCCAGAACCGACCCCCCTGGATAACAAACAGGCTCCCTTGCCCCTGAGGCTGAGTCACACTGGACAGCTAGCCTTGGGCCACACTGAGTTCTGCTGACAGCCAGGCTCTGCGGCCCTGGCTCCTCTAGAAGACCGCCTACCTACCTGGTCACAGGTGTGCAAGGCTGTCAGCAGCATGAGCGCTCCTGTGCTAGGCATATACATGTCTCCAAAGCGTGTGTTAATCATCTTGGATTTCAGAAATCTGGAAGGATATCAGAAACCGTTGAAACCTGAGAAGGGGCTAGGGAGAGCTCGGTTTGTAAAGCCCTCGTCACACAAGCCTTATGACCCAGTTTGGCTCCCATGGGGTCATAACCCATGGGATGGGAGGCAGACAGCTGAACCCCAGGTGCTCAAAGGTCAGCTAGCCCAGCCAACAGAACAAGCAACAAGACAGAGACTATAGGGTGACACAGTGGTTGTGCCCTAATCTCCATGTGTTGTTCCTGTTTGCATGCAAACAAAGTTTTTTTTTTGTTTGTTTGTTTGGTTGGTTAGTTTTTGGACACTTGGTTTCTCTGTCGGCTGTCCTGGGCCCACCTGCCTCTGCCCCCAGGAGTGCTGGGATTAAAGGTGTGGGCCACCCACACCCAGCCCTCCCCACAAAGATTTAAATAAAGACCTGAGAAGGCGTTGAAAGCCTGTTTGATGATTGCAACTTTACTCCTCCCCCTCCCCCGGGCTGGAAAAGTTCAGAAACTGGCCCTTCTTCTACTCTTTAGGGAAAATGCAAGTGTGAGGATTTTAGGATGAAACAGACACCTTATAGGGGTGAGGTACTCGCCTTTCTCCCATTCTACAACTGAGATCTTCAGTGCTTGGGCACATACTGTTTTTCCTCTTTAACCTGAGAGAGAAGCTTCTCTCCCCCACACAACCTGACCAGCAGGAAGCACAGGTGAGCAGGGAGCTCACTCAGATCCTAGCTCTGGGTTCATTGTTGTGACAGTGTCTGCAGGTCCTGACCTCAGACCTGGGTTCAGGTCTAAGCTTCACTGGGCAGGTCACACAGGCTCACAGGACTTCCACTGGCCTCCATCCACCCACTGCTTTAACCACGTTCTGTTGAGATGTTGGCCTTTGTGGTGTGCCGTGGGTGTCTCAGCTATAGGGTGGCTAGCACTGGGCATCACTACGGGACCTAGGCACTGAAGGATGTTTGGCAGCTCCTTGGCCTGTACCTACCTGGGGGGGCATCATGACAACCAAAATATGTCCTTGCAGAACCAAACACCCACCCTATAGTCCCTCATTATTGCAAACTACTAACAGGAGGAAAGGGTTGGGTGGGGGGGAGCATTGAGGGATGGAAGGAGGTGAGGTCAGGCTGACCGCTCCCCTCAGTTCTCAGTGGCTTTTGGTGGGCTCGGTTTTAGAGCTCAAAGTGATGACAGTAGACTTTTAGCCCCCAACACCACTGTGCGCCTTCTGGCTTTGTGAAGGTTCCTTGGATTCTGTTTCTTGTGGTGCTGAACCACCTCACCACCTCCATTAAGGTAGTAAAGACAGCAAGTAAAATCACAGAAGCATTTAGTACACTTGGACACACGGCACTCAGTAGGGTGCTGTCCCGGTGTATAGTGAAGGAGGCCCATCAGGAAGGTGGTCCAACCCAGGGTAGGTGTGAAAAGGGAAAGGAGGGGGTGTCGGTCCTCCCGTCTCCCACCCCATCCCCATTACCTCTCTGTCAGGTAGCGGATGAAGTCTGGATGCAGGAGTTTGAATTTCCTGGCAGAGGTTTCTGGTCCGAAATAGATGTGAGGCCTAGGTCCCACGATAGAAGTGGACAGAGCGTCCAGCACCATCGTATTGAAAGGAGAGCGAAGGGAGGGTTAAGCGCCTGTGGTAGCGGTAGGGCCGGGGCTGGGAGTAGAAGCGGGAGAACGGGGTATAGAAGGTGGCTGGCAGCACCGACGGCACCACGTGCGGCTTCCCCTTCAGCAGGACCTCCGTCGGTGGCGTGTAGGAGAGGGAGGACGGGGGGATGAACAGGGACGGAGGGGTGGGGAAGGAGCAGTGCACCTGGGGAACGTGAGGGGGCGGTGGCAGGAGGGGGAAGTAGATGGAGTCAGGGGGCGGGGGCGGGGGCTGCCTGGTTTCCTGGGCCTGGCATGGAAAGGGACAGGGAAAGCACCGATTGTAAGGAAGAGGTGCTGTCGGGGGCTGGAAATAGGGGGTCTCTTTCATGAAACGTGGCACATAGGGGGCAATGTAGGAGGGGATGGCCCGGGGCCCGATGTAGGAGGCCGAGTTGACAGGGCTATGGGAAGGGGACTTGGAGGGTATCAGGGAAGGGTTTCGAGAGAGGGATTTTAATCCAGTCTGGGAGGGAGATTTGGAGGCTGGAGGAGTAGGGACTTGAGTAGACCCTCGCGGCACATGTTGAATATGAGGACTTGGAGATTGGGAGGAAGCCCGGGAGGACGGCTGAGAGGGCACTGGGGTGGGGTTATGAGATGTTTGGCGGGTGGGAGTCCCCCCTCGGGTGGGGGAAGGGGAGGGGGAGGGGGCGGCGCCTCCAGAGCTCGGGAGGGGCTGCTGGTTGGTTGAATTGTCAGCGTGGTTAGACCGGGACTGGGATGGGGACTGGGTCGGGGATGGATTAGGGGTATGGGAGGGGGAGCTCATTGGTGTTAGGGAGGCTTATGTCCACCCAAAGCCTCTGAGGCAGTTCCCCCCAAGAGCCCATTCCCAGCATGTCACAGAACCCACCCTCTCGGCTCTCATGACGCCAGGGAGCAATTGTTAGGTAATCACAGGGTGGGGGTGGGGCACCCAGCCCAGCCTGGTGTCTATCATTTCACCCATAAAGAGCCCCCCACCCCGAAGCTGCTCCAAAGAGGGGGTCACATGTCCCAAGAGCCATGAAAGGGGTTTGGTCTTCTGGCCACAGCAGTAGCCTAGGTTTCTAAGGCACAACACACTGAGAAAGCTCAGGCTAGGGCAGAGTCCTGGGAAGGTCTCCTACCTGCTAGGATCAGTGACAGGGACACTAAACCCAGCTCTTCGTTTCCAGAGTGGTGTGGAAAATGGGCCAGCTGCCCTCACTCTCACCCTCCCACCTGCCTGCCTGTCCTCTAGCAGGACAGTTGGGACAGCAGCTTAGAGTTGAGGGGGCCAGGTCTTTTCACCCCTTGAGAAAAATCTACCTCTCATCCAGCAGGGCTACCTGGGCCCCGAACCCCTGAAAAAAATGGGAGCCCTGCCAAATCTGCCCTTAGCTTTAACTTCAGGCTTGGCCATCTGAGCTTGGCCTCATTCCCTCTCCATTCACTAGACAGTGTTCTGTGAGTCCTGTGGCCCAACCCACCCAAGGGTTCTCAGAAGTGGCAGCCACTGTCAGCCAGGTTACAATCCCCAGGGCTAAATTATGCTGAATATTTTAGAGATTAATGAATTTTGGAAAGAGAGTTTTCCCTTCAGACAACTCACACCATAGCCAGGGCTAACGGACCATCAGCTAGCTGCTCTATCCAACCATGGATCCTAGGAACAAGGGGAGAGGCTCACTGTGTTCCCAACTCCCAGAGGCTTACACTCCAGTCAGCTGCTCACCTGTCCCCTTGATCAGGACCTTCTGGAACACTCACACCCAGAATGGCAGATCTCAGCATCAGGTATTCTCGGATGCTTGAGGGGATGAAGATGTAGCGCAGGTCCTGTCAGGGTGTCAGACAAGGCTGCCTTCAGCTCCCCAGGAAATAGTCCCTCCACCTCATCTCACCACCCAAGCTTGCGAGGGTTTCCTTACTAGGCTGCATTCCCCCCTGGGAGGAACATGGGTGGTTTCAGTGTAGACTCACAGACCTCTGATAGCCCTCCCTGTAAGAGGTGAATGGCATGATCGCCCTTCCCTTGAGGATTGGCTGGACTTTTGTGACTAGTGCATAGAAGCTTCTTTGTGTTTGTGTTTTCTTTTTAACACAGTTTCAGCTGGGCATGGTGGCACACGCCTGTAATTCCAGCACTCAGGGAAGCAGAGGTAGGTGGATCTCTGTGGGTTCCAGGCAAGTCTGGTCTACAAAGCAAGTACAGGACAGCCAAGGCTACACAGAAAAACTGTCTCAACAGAACAAAACAAATGAAAAAGAGAGTCTCATGTAGTTTAGTCTAGTCTCCAAACTCCCAACACAGCCAAGGAACTTCTGGCGCCTCTGCCTTCTGAGCCTCCTGCTAGACTCTAAAACTAGAAACTAGATGGACTGGAGCGATGGCTCAGTGGTAAAGAACACTTGCTCTTCTTCCAGAAACCTGGATTTGGTTCTCAGCACCCACATGGTGGCTCACAACCACCGACAACACCAACACCCTCTCTGGCCTCTGTGAGCATGGCCAAGCATGGACATGGTGCACAGACATACATGCAGGCAAAACCCACACAAAATCTTGCAGACTGGGCCATAAAAGGTGTGTGGCTTCCCTGCTCTCCCTGAATTGCTCCGTCTGGGGAAAGTGAATGAACATGCCATGAGGACTCCTGAGGGATCGCCAGAAGGGCCCAAGTGAACAAGACCTGTAACATGGCCATCCTGACCCCAGCCCTACTCCTGCCTTCAGAAGACAGCAGCCCACTGCCTGAGCGATAAACCCTTGCTAAGCCACTCCCAAATTCCTGACATGCTGACTTGATGAGATTAGATAAAGGCTTGCCATCGCAAGTGCGGTGACAGACTGCCACAGAGGCTCTATGGCCACATCTTGTTCTCTCGAGAACTGATAGCTTCCACAGTGGGGACTCAGTGCCTAGACGCTATGCTGAGGACACTCCTGAATGTCCTGATCAGAGGCAGAAGCTTCTAAAAACATGGCCCATCCCCTTCTAGACCCATAGAATCCCTCACCCTGCCTGTGGCACCCAGAGAGATCAAGGCAGAAAGTGAGTGTGGAGGGAAGGCCCAGGGGAGAGGACACCAAGGTCGCCTTCACACTAGCTGTGACCCAGGCATGAGACTCAGTTCAAGATGAGATGGCTCAGTGGTTAAGAGGACTTGATTGCTCTTCCAGAGGTCTTGAGTTCAATTCCCAGCAACCACATGGTGGCTCATAACCATCTATATTGAGATGTGTATGCCCTCCTCTGGCATGCAGGTATACATGAAGATAGAGTATTCATATACATAAAATAAATTAAAAAAAAAAAAGATGTCACACATTATTCTCTGGGTGAGTAGTGTAAGGGAATGGAAACATCTCCAGGGGGCCTAGATTTGGGTAATTCTAGCTTAATGTCTTGCTAAGCATCCCAAACATCTTAGCATTCCCCCCCACCCCCATCCCCCAAGACAGTTTCACTGTATACCTCTAGCTGACCAGAGGTATACAGTGCTATGTAGACTAGGCTGGCCTCAAAAACCTCAGAGATCTGCCTGCCCCTGCCTCCCAAATGCTGGGGCCAAAGGTGGTGTGTACCACCACCATGCCTGGTAACCTCTCAGTAGCCCTTAGCTCTGGCACCTGAAAACAGGTCTGATGATCCCACACAGACCAACTGTGACACTTGCCATGCCCTGTAGCACTCTGGGAACAATATGCCCTTGCACTGTGCATAGATAAGGGAACTCTGGGGTAAGCACTTGAGGTTTGAACCTGGGGCCTTCTGCTGACTTGCTGCATGGAAGGACACTGGGCTTCAGTCTCCTCCCCAGTGAAGTGGGGTTCACAGGGTGCCCATCTATATTCAGTAACTATTAACCCTTCCCCTTCCATGCTTGAGAGGCAGCCCTGAGCCAACAGAAAGAATGGGGCAATGTCCAGCAGATCTGTCTTTTGCTCTAATGTCTGCCTCAGGTGGCCAAAATCTTTCTGTTTTGTTTCACTGAGACAGGACCACTCTATATGTAGCCCTGGCTATTCCTGAAACTCACCATGTAGATCAGGATGGCCTCGAACTCACAGAGATCTGCCTGCCTCTGCCTTGGGAGTGCTGGGATTGAATGAGGGTGCCTTTGGCCAACTGGAAGGTAGCAAAGATCCTAATACTACCTATCTGTCCACTGGACTGAGAGTCTGTGAACCCCAAGGTTTTCCCCATGGAAGAGAGCCCCTAAGAAGACAGCACCCACTGTCAACCCTCATGGTTCACCCACTGCTGACCTCACCTGCCCTTGTGGTACAGAGGTGAATCCCAGGTTGGAGTAGGAGATGAGAGAATTCTTCATGGTGTTCACGGTGAACCCGTAGAAGGAGATCTTGGTGCCCACATCGCGTTCAAAGCCTTTGATCACTGCTCCATTGAGTCTGGCGCCAGCAGGAGCCTCTTAGCGTCTCTGCAGCAGCACCAGGCTGTCTGGCTAACTTCCATCCCCATGGCTCTGCCTCACCTGTCCCCATCCTTCTCGTCTGTATCCTTCCCCCACCCATGAGAATATCTGTTTGGGGTCTAGCCTCAGCCTCACTTCTTGGGTCCTCAAGGGATGCTCTCTGAAGGGGCAATCTAGGCCTGGGGACCCTCCCAGGCTCCTCATCACTGGGCAGTTGCGCTCTGTATTTAGAGTTGGACTTGTCTTGGTCTAAGGCAGCGGTTCTCAGCCTTACTAACACTGCGACCCTTTAATATAATTCCTCTTGTTGTGATGACACCCCCAGCCATAAAATTATTTTCGTTGCTACTTCATAACTGTAATTTTCTTGCCCTGGCCTCAGGGCTAGCAGAATGCCAGCTGCCCACCCAGTTCCCTGGCCCCTGTCCTCATTACCTGAACACATAGTCATGGGCATCGATTTTCTGACCCTGACGGGACCCGTTCAGAATGCCTCCATTACCCACCACAGCACAGCGAATGCAGCTCAGAGGTCGTTCCCTGGAGGCGCCAAACAGCCCCGCGCTCTCGGGGTCGCTCAGAAGTCTCAGGGTAGAGACAATGGCTGTGGGTGAGGACAAGGGGGAGCCATGAGGATCGGGCTGTTGTCAGGCATTCCCCAGACTCTCTAGCTTGGGACCTATGTTATGCAGGCCATCCTAGGGTGGGGGAGAATGGGAGTATCGGGGTGGAGAGAAAAGGATAGGGGGAGCTTAGGTGGCCTGAATATCTAGAAGAAATAATTCTCTAAGACTGGGTACACTCCAGAAGAAAAGAATTCAAGGCATGGGGTGGGTCTGACTGAGGTGGTGTGTGCCACAAATAGCCACGCTGGTGCTGTGGAAGGCCCTTTAACTTGTGATGTCAGACCACATTAAATACTGGACATCTGCCATGCCAGGGCGAACCCAAAACAGTGAGAGGCACTGAGCGAGGAAATCTCAGCTTTGTCCTGGGTGCTTGGATGAAGGGGGAGAGAGAGGCAGGAGTCACAGAAGAGCCCCTGAGGGTCTCCAGGGATGCTGTGGAGGCAGCCAGAGCTGGTACACAGGAGGGCCAACAGGGGAGAGGAGGGGCCAGCCAAGGCAGAAGGCAGGAGAGAGGCAGCAGGTAGCAGGTTACTTTGGTGGGAGAGCCCCTGCCATCCGTAGGGGGCATTGTGCTGGCTCAGATTGTTCCAGAGCCCTTGGGTGAAGAGGCCTTCCCACAGCAGCACTGGGGTGGAGAGATCAAACAGGCACCGGAAACGATTGTTCTTCTGAATGGCCAGGGGAAGTGGGTGTTGGCAAAGGCGGCTCTGGGGATGAGAAGGGGAGAGGGCTAAGCCCACGAGGTGGGGGTGAGGGGTGTTTCTCCCCTGGAGCCTACAGACCCCACAGAATTCAGAAGCCTGAGCTTCCCTTACTCCTCTGGAAGGGGCCATCCCTGGAACCTTTGGCTGAGCCAGCCTGTGCTCCAGCAGCCCGAGGTCAGGGACATTTCTGGATTGAGCCTGCCCAGCCCTTCCTTGCCCAGAGGCCATATGTCCGTGTTTCAGTGGCTGTGGTTTCACCTCCCAGTTGGGAAAACTTTGGGTACTTTGTAAGCAGTGAGTGGGGCCTGTGTCTTCCGTGGATTCAAGCCCAGGACTTAGAGTCTGTCAGCCTGACCCAATCCCACCTCCCAGCATCGGTTTCCACTGAGAACCTTAAAATGACCCTGTGATGTTTTGGACCTGATGTGCCTTTCAGGTAGCTTTATCCCCAGCTCGTGAGGCTAATCATGGAGAGCATTTGGATCACGAGAGCTCTTCCCTTTATCAGTTGACCCATAGATGGATTCATAATTTAATGTCGGCTCAGCATAGTGATGCACACCTTTAATTCTAGCATTCCCGAGGCAGAGACAGCAGGATCTCTGTGAGTTCAAGGCCAGCCTGGCCCAAATACAGAGTTCTAGGACAGTCAGGGCTACATAGAGAGACTCAAAACACCAAAACTACTACTTGTCAGTTCACAAGCCAAAGCACTAGCCAGCTCCTAGGTCGCCTACAGCCTGATGTCACCACCTGCTGCCTGCAGCCAGCTGTGTGCCACAGGAGCTTGAACTGAGCACCAGATGAAAAGGACCAGCCGGGCTGGAGGGATGGCGCAGTGGTTAAGAGCACTGTCTGCTCTTCCTAAAATGAACCCGGGTTCGATTCCCAGCAACCACATGGCAGCTCATAACTGTCTGTAACTCCAGTTTCAAGGGATCCGACACTTTCACACTAATGCACATAAAAGAAAAAAATATTAAAGAAAAAGGACCAACTGGTTACTGCACCACTCTCTCTGCCTCAGTTTCTCTCCCCTGTGCCTGAGGCACCTCCCTTCCCCTGTCTCTCACTCTTTCTGTCACTCCACCTCTGTACAAATCTCTTCATACCAGTTCTGTTGTGGCATTTTAAAATAGATTATTATACTACTGCTACTGCTACCAGTACAAATTTGATTGCATCATTGAAAGAGGGTAGAAACACTGCAATGAGCCTCGCTGGAGGAAGCTGGTCACGGGGGGGGGGGTATACCTTGTCCCAGGGTGCCCTCGTGTTCTCTCACGCTGCTTACAGGCTGCCAGGATGTAAATGACTCTGTTTTACCATCTGCTGTCTCCCATGATGCCATGAAACCATGAGCCAACATAACTTCTCTTCCTTTGAAGTTGTTTTCTCATGTGTTTGTCACAACAACAGAAAAGGCAAAGCATCAGCCTTGCTTGGAAATAAGGTGTTTGTGAATATCATCAGAATGAGGTCTTACGGGCTTAGGCTTCCCCTAAACATGGCTAGCCCTAAATACCAGCCTCCTAATAATGGAACAGTGTGAAAAACAGAGGCCATGAAGTAGATAGATGTGGAGATGGGGTGATACCAAGCCAAGCTGAAAACAGAAGATGAGGGGGCTTCCTAGAGCCTCGGGGTAAATATGGCCCCTGAGGTCCTTTAGCATTCAGAACCAGTGGAGAGTGCATGTGTGTGTTTATGCCTGAGAGAGCAGCTGTCCCACAGACAGCCAGAGGCATCAGATCCCCCAAGAGCTGCGGCTCTAGGAGGTTATGAGTGAGCTGCCCGATATGGGAGCTGCAGACCAAACTTGGGACCTTTGCAAAAGCAGACCACGCTCTAAGCCCCAACCTCTGTTGTTTCAAGTCACCTAGTTGGTGCCCTGAATTCTGGGGGCCTCAGGAACAGGACTTCACTTAGGGTCCTTCTGGGACAGTGAGGTTGTTAGCAGGCCCCATTCCAATCTGTTGCTTTCCCACAGTGCTGAGTCTCACACAGCCTTGGTGTGGGGGTGGGGTGGAGCTCTGTTACTTCTGAATAAGCTTCTTTGTCAAGCTGTTGATCAAAGGACAGAGAAGGAAATGGCTGTACAGTGGTTTCTGCTATCACGCAACATATGAGCATCCCACACTGTGCAAAAATGATGCAATGAAACCACAGGGCATGTGGGGGGATGGAGTGAGTGGGGTAACACTCAAGAACGTTGTCGATGGTTTGTTAAATCAAAGACAGATGGCGGATGTCACGCAGCCAGCCAAGAAAACTTTTGACTTTGGCCTAAACTATGGCACCTCTCCTTGGAAAGACCGGAGGTTTGCTGGTGGACAATGGTGTCTGAAGAGTTAGCAGTCAGTAAGGGACAGCAGAATGGCAGAAAGAGGTTGGCTGCAATCAAACAGGAAGCTGTAAGAGCAGGTGTGAGTGGGTGAGCCCATGGCCCAGGTAGTAAAGTAGGTGGATGTTTCTGTATAGTCCTGCATGGTTCAGTTCAGTTGGGTGCCCTTTCTGTGTTTATCTTGTGTCCTCACCAACAGACAGATGCACCTGACTCTTCAATATTTCCTTAAGATGAACCAGGCGTGTTCCAGGTCGGGTGACATCACTTTTGTTCTGAGCCATAAGCAAATCCCTCTTTCTGGTCCAAAGTGTGGGAATCCAACGGGCCTTGCTGCTTGTAGGACCACACTTCCATCAGTAACTCCCACAATCAAAGACTCTGGGTCTGCTTGCCCTCCTTTCTCTGGTCCCTGGGTATCTAATATGTTAAGATGGGATTTCCCCATCTTAACACCTTGGAACACCTTGGTCCCCATGGAACACCTTGCTACATGTGTGCCCAAAAGTCAGAGCAATGCCTGTTTTAAACCAGCTGGGACGATGTGCCAACTAGCCCCAAGTAGAAAACCTGTTGGAAACTTAAAAATGGCCTGACCCAAGCTCTCAAGATGTTTATAGCTTCTCCAGCTGCTAATCATGTGGCCACAACCTGTTCCACACCTTATCACCTGCCCAGAACCACTTGTTCCATCTCTGAGTGACTAGGCTATCACTAAATTCTTGAACACAGGGACATCTCCGCCCCTCCTCCCCCTGAGTCCCTAAAACCTCACAAAACATGTCCAAGTCTGGTCTCTTAGGTACCAAAGTCAATGCTGAAGCCTGTATTAATACACAAAAGACACAAACTGCCCAGTTCAACCAGTATGAGGAGCTGGGGTGGCAGAGAAAGCTGCATACCACCCAGCGTGGTATGCTGGGTGGCCAGGGCTGGGGTCAGATCAGGGCTCCCAGCCCAGTGGCACCGATTACTGCCGAGCTGGCCTGGGCAAGGCACTCACTGCTCCGTGCCTCAGTTTGCCTCTTTACCATTTACCTAAAATTGAAGAGCAAAGTGCTATCTAAGATTATGGACCAGAGTCTTAAAGGTCTAAGGCCCTCGAGGCAAAGATGGGGCATTCCCCAGAGCTTGTGATTTCAGTGAGCAGGTGGACTGAGACTTATCAGAACTAGATTTTGGAGGAATAGAGCAAAGAAGCCATTCAACACAAAGATACACTTTTAAGGGGCCAAGAGATGGCTGGATGGTTAAGAGAGCATATTGCTCCGTAGAGGACCCGGGTTCCGTTCCCTGTACCCACACTGGGTGGCCCACACCTGTCTGTAACTCCACTTCTGGAGGATCCCACGCTTTTTAGGTACCTGCGCACGCATGGCGCAGTACATACACACAAGCAAACACATGCATGCTACTACTAATAAAGAAATATTAAAATAAACGATATTAACTTTAAGAAAAGAGACAATTCAAAGGTGCTGGAAAGATGCCTCAGTGATGAGAAGCACATACTACTCTTGCAGAAGACCTGAGTTCAATTCCCAGAACCCACAACTGCCTGTAATTCCAGCTCTGAGGGGTTCTGCTGCCTGTATCCTCTGTGGTACCGGTACACACACACACACACACACACACACACACACACACACACACGAACACATACACACACATTCAGACACACAGTTCAAATAAGGACACAATCTTGAGGCTCCCAAGAACTTTCCAGCTGGCTACACCCTGGAGGCATTTATCTATCTACCATTTTCTGCTGGGATACAGGAAGCACTAGTGGCCAGGTCTAAGATTCCTGGAGAGGATGGATGTTTTACCTCGGTGCTGGTGGAGGTCCAAACAGATTAGACCCAGAAGCCTCAAGAATGTTTCTGTTTTCTTCTCTCCTCCTAGCTAGACCATGCTCAAAGCGCCCCAGAGCGGTGGACCACTGTACCTTTCTGTTTTCGGAATTCGATGCCTTGGGTTCAAAGAATGCTCGAGGTGACGTGATGCTCCTGGTGGGAAAGGCAGACATAAAGGGGGTCCTACCAGCACTCAGAAGCTTCCAGGCTGACTTCCTCAGCTCCGAGGCTGACAAAATGCCAGGGTCCCCAGACGTTTAGTCCTCTGATCCTGATTCTGCACCCTCTTTAGATGTACAAATTCAGCTTGCACCATTACTCAGTTTGTAGCATTATTAGATGTACCATGACTCAGTCACGTTCTGCCTACCTACAGAAACCATGTCGTGTCTCTCAGCAAGGGGCAGAAATGCGGAGCTTATAGGAGCAGGGGTGGTTAAAATATGAAAATATAAAACAGGAAAGATGGACAGTCCCTGGAACTGTGACTGCCTGAGAGGTCTCCTGCCAAAGCCCCAAGAGTTCAAGGCCACCCTCTACTACATAGGTTTGAAGCCAGGCTGGGGATAGTGACACGGAAGCAAACAGCGACAGCAGAAGCTTGAGGCATGGGAGGGTTTACATGCGGCCATCTCTCGCCAGCTGTCCACTGAGTCTCGGTTTCAGGCTCTGCCCAACAGTACTTGGATCCCCTGATTTGTTGGAAGGAGCCCAAGAGAACAGCTAACTTAGCCCACAGGAAGAGGCCTTCTAAATGTCAGCCATTGTCTCTCAGGGGAAAAAGGAAGGGCCCAGGCACTATGAGGCCCCAGGACAGGGGGAAAGGATGGAGAAGGCCCATTCCGAGGGTGGTGGCCATGTCCCAGCAGCATTAGGGAGTCCAGGGGTGTGGAGAGCCTGTAGTTTTGCCTAGGAGGTCCTGAGCTCACTGGGCCAGTTCTGAGTTTGTAATCTGTGCGGCCCTTTTCCCCAGGTTTCCAGTAAGAACCTGAAGGGATGATCGCTTCCCCTCCTCCACTAGCCAGATGTCCAGCCCTATAATCCTGTAGCTCCTCCCTCCTCTGAGGAGCTGAGACCCTATGTGCTCAGCCAGAACTACCTGGAAGGAGCCTGGCAAGCGTCTACACCCAGCCCGTCCTGAGGTTCTGATAGCCCCCAATCTCCCCTCTCCACCCCACCTCAGCCGATCCTGAGGTTCTGATAGCCCCCAAGCTCCACTCTCCACCCCACCCCCACCCTCTGGTAACTGTCAGGCAGTGGGCCTTGTGAACTCAAAGGGGAACTGTGGGCCCACAGACTTGGGGTAGCAGGACGAAAGTGACTGGAACGGGGAGGGGGAGGATAGATAATGGGGACTCTCCTGAACTTTGGCCCTCACCCCAAGCCTAATGGGACCTCCTCCCAGCTTCCTTGGGTTTGGTGACTTCACTGGCCACCCTCTCAGGAATCCACAGAATCCACGTTCTTCCTGTTACCCAGGCCTCCCTTAAAGGGAGTTAAGCACCCATACCCCTCTGTGAAGACTCTGAAGCCTGAGAAACAAGCACAAAATGTACATTTTTGTAAAACTAAAGGCATTCTTCAGGTGTGGAGGCACCTGCTTTAATTCTAGCACTCTAGAGGCAGAGGCAGGGGCAGGAGGATTATGAGTTCAAGGCCATCCTCAGCTATATGGCATGTTTGAAGCTAGTTTGAGTTTTATGAGCTACTGTCTCAAAACAAAGCAAGAAAGTAAATGTAGATATACTCAGCTTAATTAAAACAAAACAACAAGACTGTATAATGTGTATATGTGTGCTGTGAATGTGTTCATTTATCTGTGTGAAAGGGCAGGGGCACTACGGAGCACTCATGGAAGTCATAGGGGGCATTGCAGCATCCAGGGCGGGAAGGATGTAAGAGCCTGACGATGGGGGAGGGGCTGTGAAGCACTGTCCTCAGGGCACGACATGGCCTTTGCAGTCATGAACTCAAAGGAGCTGCAGTTAGCTGCCTGCCTCCTCTGTCAGCAGTCCCTGGTAGGCAGGGGCAGAGCTCTTGGAACTCTCCTCTCCCTTTGGGAAGGATTACTGAACGGATGGATTCTGGGGATGGGAGGGCCGTGGCTATTGTTATCAGTTGTGTGCCCACTGGTGAGCCCACCAGGCTCCAAAGGTCAGTTCCACACTCATGCTCACACAGATCCTTGGTTAAACTCAGGAGTTTATGAAACACAGCAAAAAGGCAAGGGGCCTTACTAGAGGGTTCGGAGAAAGGGCTGCTGGTGGGACTGGGCTGGAGACAAGAGAGGGTGGAGGGTGGGGTGAAAGTCATTAGAATCTATCATATACAAGTATGGAATTTTCTGTCTCTCTTTTCTTCCCCCCTTGGGTATTTGAGACAGGGTTTCTCTGTGTAGCCCTGGCTGTCCTGGAACTCACTCTAGACCAAGCTGGCCTGGAACTCAGGGATCCCCTGCCTCTGCCTCCAAAGAGCTGGGATTAAAGGCATGTGCCACCACTGCCCAGATGACATACAGAATTTTCAAAGAATAAATTTAATTTAAAAATATTGGCTATAAAAAGAAACTTAAAAAAAATTCTCAGGCAGGAGAATCTTTTGGAATCAGAGTCTTGTGGGGAGATGACCAGGTCCCCCTAAGGTGCAACAGGGGCCCCCTGGGCTCTGCAAGCCCAACCACTCTCCGGCCTGGCTATCTCTTGGCCCCATTCACAGGAAGGATGCTCAGCTTCCGGCTATACTCAGAAAGCCACCTGCCCTGCTGGGCTACCTAAGCCACCTCCTGCAGCCAGGCTAAGTTCTAACCTGCCTCTTCTCCCCCATGTTCTGGTTTTACTGCAGCAAATGCCAACTAAAACAAGGAAAAGGACAGGCTCTTGGTTCATACCAGATTTTGTCGGGTTTTTGTTGTTGTTTTTTACATTTCGTATTGAGGACGGAACCCCAAGACTTCATGCATGAAAGGCAAACACTCTACCAACTGAGCTACACGCCCAGTCCCCGTATCAGAGTTTGAAAGGAAGAGAGAGCTCTTGAGAGAGGAAAAGGTTTGGCCACATTGCACTGGGGAGAGACCTCTAGGCCTTCGACCCTACACAAAGAGTTACAGTCGACTAGGAACTGCTGAGAGCTGGAGAGTGGGTCCTCCACAGCAAAGAACCCACCAACGGCTTATCCAAACCAAATGGCCAGCCCCAAAACATACATACAAGTAACATTATACAGACTGAGCAGGCTCTGTTTAGAAAGGTAAATGTCTCTCTCTGTGTGTGTGTGTATATATGTATGTATATATAATGTAACAACAATTAAGAAAAAAGAGGTAGGTCAGCAATTTAAAAAAGCAAAGAGGAACATATGGAAGATTTTAGAGGGAGGAAAGGGAAGGAGAAATGATGTAATTATATTATGATCTCAAAAATAAAAGAAATAATAAAAACATTTCTTGAAAAGGAAGAGCCTAGTTGGGCACTTCGGATGCAGGTCTTTAAACCCAGCTCTCAGGAGGCAGAGGCAGAGGCAGGGGGGATCTCTGTGAGTTTGAGGCCAGCCTGATTTACAAAGAGAGTTCCAGGACAGCCAGCTCTACACAGAGAAACCCTGTGGAGAGAGAGAGAGAGAGAGAGAGAGAGAGAGAGAGAGAGAGAGGGAGGAAGTGCTTTGTTAAGGTGTAATCTAGGTGAAGACATATTAAACCCACTGCAGGATGTTGCCAGCTAAGGAGACTGTATCAATTGTTTGCAAGCAACTTTCATGTTACTTTTGCAAATGAGGTGTGTCCTTTAGCTAGACACTAGATACCCATTTTTTTTTTTTTTTTGCAGAAGCAAAAGCTAGCTAGGAGGAGAAAGGGTGGTTGCTGAGGTCTCTGAAAGTTGCTGTATGGGCTCTTCCGGCCCCCTCCAGACCCAGATTCTTGCTATAGCTTGGCTTACCTCCCTGAAACAAAGCTAAACCCTCTGGAGGCTCCTTCAGTAGGTGGAAGCCTCAAATAGGCCCTGAATTGGCGTCTGTGCAGGTGCACACAGAGCTCACCTTTCTCAAGAGCAGGCCCAGATGAAGCTTATCAAATTAACCACTTAAACAAATAATAGACCCGAATAAAAGGGAGCCAGATGTAGGTAGGCCTGAGTGCAGAGCCCAGAGTGAGCGGAGCAGAGAACTGGTCACCTCCTGCCTGAAGAGTAGGATAAAGTTGGAAAGCAGGGAACTTGGGTCCCTACCCCAAAAGGGGATCCAGGAAAAGTGGCAACGGGGAGCTTCCAATTAGGCCTGGATAAAACTGATCAAAGACATCAGGGTCGCCAGTGTGCTCCAGGGACGGGGATGGGGCGTGGTGGTGGGACACGCAAACGCAGGTACTCGGGGCAGCATGAGATTAAAAAGTGAGTCCCTGCCACGCCAGGGTTTCCGCGGGCGGCGGGAGAGCTGCGTGCGCGCGCCCTCCCCGCGCCTTGGGCGCAGCACCCCGCAGCGCTTACCTGGCGGGGGCCCAGGTCTTCCGGGACCGCTGCCCCGCCGAGGAGTACAGCAGGAAGAGGATCCCGGAGCCGGTGGCCACCAACAGCAACATCCGGAAGAGCCAGCGGCGCGGGAGGTCCATGCGAGCCCGCCCGGGGTGCGCCCCGTCCGCCGCCCTGCACACTGAGCTCCGGGGCGGAGAGGCCGGTCCCTGTGGGGCGCGCGCAGGCTGCTGCCCTGCCCTGCCCCGCCCTGCCCACCGCGGGCCGCCGTGGCGCCTCCGGCTCCTGCAGCTGCCCCTGTGTCCCCGCCAGCCCCGGGGCCGCTGCAACTCCAGAGACTGAGCGTCTGTCGGGCCGTCCCCCGAAAAGCCGATGTGCAGCTACTAATGGCTGCTGCCGCGAGCGCCGTTTCGGGGCTGTCCCCCGGGATCTTCGATGGCCGTCACACCGGACGCCGCTCTCCAGCGAGAGCCACACCCCGGACGCACCTATTCCGGAGTTGGACAGGGATGTTCAGTTCGCACCGTCCAGGGCTAGCATGTGCAGTGAAGGCCGGGAAGGGCGCTGAGAGGCGAGGTCGCCTGCTGCGCTGGCTGAGTAATGTGCGCTTAGGGACGCCCACCCCAGGTTTCTGGAAATCAGAAGCGGGTGGATGGCAGCTGGGAGGCAGCCTGGCCGGCTCCCCTCACTAGGACCATGGGTTTGATGGGTCAGGCCTAGTTTCCTTCGGAAGGATAGAAGGAAAGCCCGTAGCTCAGATCTGGTGTTGGAGGTGGAGGGCTCAGGTAGGGGGCAGGCTGCGGTGGGGTGCCCTGTGGAGCATGGGCTGTCATCCCTTTTTTTGGTGACTACCCGTTGAGATGAAGGGCGTCATGTAGGGAGCCCCATCTTCTTCAACTTTCCACCCACAGCTCCTCCCTTCCTGGGGGATGCTCTCCTCCCCTGTGGGAGACCTCCATCGGTGTTAATGGTCCAGGTCCACCATTTTCAGCATCCCCCCCCCCCCCCGCCGCCCCTCCCCCAACCCAAGTGTCCTGTCCCTCCCCCAGGGGCCCCGCACCCCCCCCCAGTCTCTCCCAACACCTCAGGTTTCTCAGGAGCTTCCTTTACTCTCTAACTTGGGTCTTCGGGTCATAATCTGTGCTACTGTCAGTAGCACAAATCCGCTTATAGGTTTGGCTTTCTGCCCAGAAAAACCGCCAGGTTCCTGCTTGTACCTGCCCTGAAGTGCTCTTTCTTGTTCCAAAGCCAAGAACACAGCTGGGGAGCTGACTTTGCCTCCCCAGCCACTGCCTAAGCCTTGCTGGGCTTCAGCTGCTGTTCTGTCCAGTGGCCCTAGAACATCACACTAAGTCTTCTCTTTCTTCTGACATTCTTTTGAGAAAGGAAGGTCACCAAGCGTGAGCGTCGGGCCTGGGGTTGTACTTCAATTTCATGCTTGCTCAACATCTAAATGAAGCCCTGTATAGTTCAATCCCCAGCACTGCATAAATTAGCTGTGGGGATACACACCTCTACTCTTGGAGGGGAAAGGCAAGAGGATTAGAAGTTCGATGTCCTTGCCTACTCAGAGAGTTCAAGGCCAGCCTGATGGCTACTGTTAGCTGTCAACTGGATACAATGGGAAGAGAGTTGCAAGTGGGGATTGTCTAGATCAGGTTGGTGTTTTTCTTTTCTTTTCTTTATTGGGGCAAAGCCTCCTCATAGAGCCCTGGCTTGCTCGTACTTGTCATGCAGGCCAGCCTGACCTTGATTAGGCGTGCCACAGTTCAAGCTCTTCAGTGTGCATATGACTACTGCCTTCAGGTTCCTCGGCTTCCCTGGATTGGAGGCAAGGTGAATGAACACTTTCTTCCTTGATATTACTTTTGTCAGAGTACTTTATTATAGCAAAGACATGAAACTAAGATACCCTGTGTCAAAAACAAGCCAGTAAAGACCAAAAAAGACTGATGTGGTGCTGCACACTTTTGATCTCAGTGCTGGAAGGCAGAGGCAGGCAGCTCTCTGTGAATTCGAGGCCAGTCTGGTCTGTGTAGGGAGTTCCAGGACAGCCAGGACTACTCAGAGAGACCCTGTCTCAAAAACAAAATTACAAAACTGTTTGAACTTGCATGCCCCTAACTACTGTCGGAACTAGGAAGGAAGGCCCTGAGGAGTTTCCCTCTTATCTGCTGACAGTTTAGCCTGGCACAGGTTCAAGACTCTTGCCAAGAAGACACAAGACTCCTAGGTCAGACAGTGTTATTTTGACCAAGTGAGCAACACTGGCCTCATGCTGGGCAGCTTCTCATCCAGCAAGCTCACAGGGATGAGGCAGAGACATGAAGATGCATGCAGGACAGCCGAAGCACTCTACAGAGGAAAGCAGACTGTTGAATTGATGGGCCAGCTGCCAGCACACTAGCATTTGCCAGACAGACATCGCTTTATTATCTTCTCAATAGGACAAGATGCGCCCCCTGCTTCAGAGGAAGGCCCCACCTTTATCTTCTGAGGTTGTTTACTTGACAAGACAGTTTGGAACAGAAGGGTGAATGCAACTGTCCTCAAAGGTGCTGACTTAAGGGTTAACAATTGTCTTCCCCCTCGTTCCTGCCCACGCCTGTGGCCTGTGTTTCTCCAGGCTCTGAAATCCAGCCTCTTCCCTGCATGCCCTCCCACTCTTCAGGCCTGTCTTTAGCACCCTATCCCAGTGGGGTCCTGATCCCTGTTTATAAGCACTGCCCACAGGCCGCTGTGGCGGCTCAGTGAGTAAAGGGGCGTGCTGCCAAGTTTCACAACCTGAGTTCCATACCTGTGACCCGCAGAGAGGAAGGAGAGAAACAGCACTCTAGTCACCGCAGGCATGTAGACACACACACATGCACACGCGTGCACTCACACACTAAATGTGATGATAATGATAATAATAACGATAATGATGACACCGGGTCCTCAGAGGGAAAAAGCCAAACAGTGCGTGCTGTTGAGCTGGCTCTTGTTAGCTACCCCCTTTCGGTTTCATCCCAGTCTGTTCTGTGTCCTCCTGTCATGGAAGCTGTCTCCGTGGCTGTAGTACCACCGAGACTGTACCACTGTTCCTAGTGGGACACAAAATCTCTGCTTCTGAGTTTTAGCTCTGAGCCTCTCATAATATCTGCTTGGAATTTTTTTTTTCCCCTTGTGATTTTAACAGCCAGCGCCTTGGTAGCTACTGAGGCTGTGTCCAGCCCTGTTCTGCCACTGCTGGGCTTCAAAGGAGGCACCCTGGGGACCAGAGATGCTGCTGCTGCTGCTGCTTTGGTTTTTGAGGAGTTTCCCTGGGCAGCCCTGGGACAGCCTTGGCTGTTCTGGAACTCACTGTGTACTCCAGGTTAGCCTTGAACTCAGAGATCTGCCTGCCTTTAACTCCTAAGTGTATGTGCCACCAGGGCTCTTAATTTTTATTATTATTATTATTATTATTATTATTATTATTTTGGTTTTTTGAGACAGGGTTTCTCTGTGTAGTCCTGGCTGTCCTGGACTCGCTTTGTAGACCAGGCTGGCCTCGAACTCACAGAGATCCGCCTGCCTCTGCCTCCCCGAGTGCTGGGATTACAGGCTCGCACCGCTGCATCTGGTTGAGCTTTGGTTTTTCAAACCACAGCCAATTTATACTTTTTTTTTAAAGGTATTTTGATTACAAATTTAAAAAGAAATGGAGAATCAATTGAAGAGATCAGTGAATGCATTGCTTTTCCAGAAGACCTTAGTTCCCAGCACCCACAGGGGGCAGCTCAAAGCTGCCTGTTAATGCAGTTACAGAGCCCACATACATAGCCACACACAGATGCACATACTCAAACATAAATCTTTTTTTTTTTTTTTTTTTTTTTTTCAAGTTTTTGTTTTTCAAGATAGGGTTTCTCTGTGTCGCCCTGGCTGCCCTGTAGACCAGCCTGGCCTTGAACTGAGATTGCTCTGCTTCTGCCTCTCTGGGGCTGGGATTAAAGGCATGTGCCACCTTTGCCTGACTTAAAAACAAATCTTCAAGAATAAAACATGGGGTGCTGAAGAAATGGCTCAATACTTGCTGCTCTTGCAGAAGACTGAACCCACACCAGGCAGCTCATAATATACTGTAGCTCCAGTTCCAGAGGACCGGACACCTATTAGCCCCAGAGGTCACCGCATGAATGCAATGCCCGTGCAACGAAGCAGACACATGCAACATACACATAAATAAAAACTGTGCACACACGCGCGCGCACGCACGCACGTGCTCAAGGAAAGCCTGACTCTACAATACGGATGACACTGGGTTAAGAGAAATAAGCCAGTCACAAAGAGCTCATCACTGTGTGGAAGATACACTAGATTTATGTTCTGTGTATTTTGCCACATTTTTTTTTCAAATGTGTGTGAGTGGAGCTGGTGGGGTGGCTTAGAGATTAAGAGCACTGGCTGCTCTTGCAGAGGATCTGAGTTTGATTCCCAGCACCCTCATGGCAGTTAATAATCCAGTTCCAGGAGACCCAGCGTGCTCTGCTGGCCTCTGGGCACCGCATGCATGTGGTGCACAGATCGGCGCAGTCAGTCAAAACACTGGTACGCATAAGGCAAAAAATAAACAAAGCCTCAGAAATATAAAAATAAACAAAACGTGTTATGTGGAAAAAAAAAAAAAAAAAAGACAGAGAATTAATGTCCCCAGGGCTTCAGGCCTGTTTGTCCCAAGTATCATATATCAACCAGTTTCCAACAAGACACTTTAAACGTTAAGGACTTGCCTTACAGGGTTTTGACTTCTTTAAATATTTATTATTTCATGTATGTGAGCATTTTGCCTGTGTGTACATCCATGCAGCGTGTGCAAGCCTGGGGCTGGTGGGGAGTGAGAAGGAGGGGTCAGACTGCCGGGAACTGTCCTGACTGCTGGCTGTGAGCGGCCGGGTGGGCCCTGGGCACTGAACTCAGCGCCCTGCAGGAGCAACAGGTGCTCTTAACTAAACCATCTCTCCTGCCCTCTTAAAGCATTTACATCAAAATTCTGCTCACAAAAATTCTGAGGAAGAAGCTGCAGCTTTGAACGAACCTTCTGCAAGTCTAGTTAACTGACTGGATTTTGGAGCTTTGGGATGTTACAGGATCAGAGCCAGACTATCTTGTGTTGAGGTACTCTGACACTGAGATACGTCCAGACATGTCCGGGCCTTACTGCCTAGCATAACTGCGGACATTTGTTTTTTAAGTCTCCGTTTTGATCATAAAGGTGATCAGGCAGGCAGAGCCTGAGAACTTGGATAGCCTTTACTTACAATTCGATACTTGTTGAATGTTCTGCTTGAACTAATGATATATATTCTACTTAAACAAAACCACAATACCCTGCTGTGTTTCTTTCTCCTGGGTCTGTGCGGACCTGGAAAGTCCCCAAGCTGCTTCCCTTCCTGTGTCCTAGCCAATCAGCTTAAAATGCTTTGTTTAGCTAGTCAAAATGATGTAATGCTGACCTCCCCTTGCT